GCATGGATCCATCGAGTATAGAAACTAAGGGTTATAATCCCAGATTATAAATGATGCACGATATCTGAGATTCTTTTTTTTTCATAAAATTCAAAACAACTATATTCTCTTATAATCCTTCTAGTCAAGTCGGACTTGGATCTCTCTTTTCGATAAATCGAAAAGGTCTGAAAACTGTCTTGTGTTTTCTTACATTTTGTTTCATAATGAAAGTAAATATGATGATCTTAGTTTACTTCATATATATCTTATCAATTTTCTTCATCGTATAAATTATTAAATGAATCATATTTTGATTGAACACATCCATATACCAGTTGTATTATTGTTGTGTTTATCCAGCGTGGTAAATTAATCAATAATATAACGGGTGGTCGGAAAGTTTTGACACAAAATATTTGTCTGTTTTTCGCGCATTTAAATGCAATGGGAAGGAGTGAGAAGTAGTGAGCTAGAATCAGAATTTGATGCTCTTTCAGAATATTTAATCAGAATTTTTCTACGACTTTTGGCTATTGAGCTAGAAGTAAATCTTTAAAAGACTCAAAACTTTCCTTTGAACGGCAAAAACACAAATGAAATTTGTTTCAGGCGTTCTATAAAGTTTTATTGAATATACTGAAAGATACAAAAATTAATTCTCCACAAAACGGTACATTAAAATCATCTTTCCTGCAAATGCTTTAGGAGCAACAAAGACTTTTTAAGAATCTATCACACTAAAAACCATAATTTTTTCGACCATCGAGTTTTCATGCAAAATGATCCTCCATCATAAGTCTCCTATTTTTGAGTGGATCGATCAAAATACGCCATTCATGCACCATCTTGTAAAGGAAATATTAGACTTCAATACTATGCATTTTAAGAGTTTCTTTGATGTCTTTAGGAACTGCGGTGAACCTCACAAAAGTAAGATTTTACCTGTCCAAAAGGAATTTTTGAGTCTTTTAAAGATTTACTTTTAGCTCAATATCTCAAAGTCATAGGGAAAATTCTGATTATATATTCTGAAAGAGCATCAAATTCTGATTCTAGCTCACTATTTCTTACTTCTTACCATTGCATTTAAATGCGCGAAGAACAGTCAAATATTTTATGTCAAAACTTTCCGACTACCCGTTATTAATTCTATTTTCGGATAAAAGTAATGTAAAACAATATCGTTCAATTGTTCTTAAAAATCTCTATGAAAAATCTCTTAGTTCAGTACATTTTGAAATTGCCATCAAACTATATATTTTTAAAAATAAATGATTCATTCATCATGGTGACAATGGAATATTGAAAAAAATAAATAAAACTTTTTCTTATTTTTCCAGCAATATATAATAACTTAACTCCTCCAACATTATCAACGAGTATACTCGTTAAAGCATTCATTATGGCAAAGAGAAAGACTATAATTTCTTAACTCCGTTTTTGAAACTTCAAAGTACCGAATTGAAATAAGCTTTGCTTTGCAGATTATGGAGCTTTTCACGCTGCATCTTGTGACGTATTTTATTTTTTGATACAAAGTATTAAGGGGTTGAAAATTGATATAAAAACCGTCACCATTCAAACTGTTCCATCTGTTAGTTTTAAAAAAATTTAACATTGAAGGGATTAATTGATTCCTTTTCTTTTATGTATTTATGTATGTGTTTCTTTTTTGTTGTCTTATTAAAATAGTTTGTCCATTCATAACGAATTTGGTTACTGTTATGCTCGTTGGTTAACTAAATAGATTTTTATGTACTTGTTTATTAATAGTTTACATTCTCTTTACTTCATTTCTCTTGAACACATGTATGAAAGGAAAAGAGTATCAAATGTTTATATACAAGCACAAGAAAAAAAACAAGTTGAATTTTTGCACATGTATGAATGATTATAGAATAAAAAAAAAAGCAAACAAACAAACAAGAAACATAATTATGCACTAGAAGAGAATCGATAGACGAAAGATAATATAAATGTATGATTTCTCTCTGGAGCATATAAATATTTTGATCTAGATAATTTGTCTACATTTCCCATAATTCATTGCTTCTCTGTTAATAGTTACTAATATTTATATTGAGTTTGTTTTTCTTTTTTTTTTTTTTTCGTTGAAAATTTTGTTATTAATAAGAAAACAAAACAAAACAAAGTGTGAAAAATGAAAATAGATTATTTTTTTTTACTACCAAACAAATAAATGGGACAAGAATATATTCATTTGATGGAGGAAGACACATCACAAACGATTAAAGAAAATGATTGAATAGAAAAAAAAAAAAAACAAAAGACGAAAAATGTAAAAGTAAAACAAAAAGCTACCACCATCAAATGCATTTAGATAAAAGTCTTTTTTTTATGCGAAGATTTATTTCGTTTTCTTTTCTTTAATAACATTGTTAACAGAAGCTTTTGGAGTTGATGTTGGTCTGAAAGAAAGAACAAACATAATATTTGTTAACAAAAATTGAATATTAATTTCTCTTTCGATTCTATATTTTTCATCTGGTATCGATTTCCATAACATTGGAACTATAAATGATTGGTCCCGCTCATCACTAGGTACTACATAATATTTTTGATGAATTTGAAAAAAATCGTGATTAAGTTTAATCTAACATCAAGAACATCACACTTACATTGGTTCTTCTTCGTCGCTATCGTCCTCTTCTCGTGTATCTTGTAATCCATTTGAAGTACCAGCCAATGCTCGAAAAAGTAATTGAAGAATGAACTAAAATAAATGAATAAATATTATTTCAAAAACTAATTCGTATTATATAATAATACTTACATAGAGCCAGTAGATATTAAGTCCTAATAATATCAATAATAAGAAATTGAAAAATCCATATAAACCACAACCTCTATTATAGACACGGTAAGCAGTAACAACTCCTGTTGAATATAAAACTCTTAATGGATACCAATAAAGACGAAATAAAAACCTAATTAAAAGATAAAAAATTGAAATAACTAAAGTAAAATACAATGTATAAGAATATAAATTAGTATTTTCTAGTCTTTTATCTTTTTTATAATAGATACATAGTTCTCAAAAAAACATAGCGAACATTTTACTACTACTCATTATTGACTTCCATCGACAATAAGAATTTAATACATATAAAAAATTGCTACAAAATAGTTTGTTTTTAATAATTCATAGAAGAATCGATTTCATTTTCTCGTCAGTTACAAATTAGCTACATGAAAATTTTTTTAGTCCTTAGAAATTATTTCGAGAATAGAACTTTGAACACTGTTCAATTTTTCATTTTCAACCTCGCACTCTATTATCAAAATTGATGTTGATGATAATTACGTGATGAGATAATTATATCATGTTTCTAACACATGTCAATCGACTCCATTATTATATCATTGGTTTCTATGATTATATCATAAGCTATTGTTTTCATTACAGTTACAATAATCAAAATAATGATTCTTTCTATTTTAGCGTGATTTTTTTTTGTTGTCTATATATCAATAACAAGATTAGAAGAATCAGGAATAGATATGTTTCTATCTTTAATCTTGTTTTCAATATTAATGAAATTTTCATACAAAACATTTTCAAAATATTTAGATTTTAAGATCTCTTGAATTATTAAATAATTTATATAAACTAGAAAACTCTTAGGAATACCAAAGATCGATTATTCGTCATCTTGTATTTCAACATACCAGGTTAGAATAAATATAACAAACACTACATTTGCAGCATTTTCCCACTGAGGACATTGTCGACCACCTTTTCTTGTCGACATATAATGTAATGATTTTGCTAATTCAAGCCAAATATCGGTTATATCATGTACAAAAAGAACAAGTAAACCAACTTTATGATAACTATAAAAATTTTTTTTTGAATATAAAATAACAAAAAAAAAATTCATTTCATTTTTAAAAACAAAAATATCAATTTTACCGTGTTGCATAAGAAACAGAGATAAGTGCCATCGTTAATACATGATGAAGAAGCATAGCATAATAATCTTTTCGTTTATAATCCATATAAATTGTTGCATAAACTGAATGTAAATAAAATCCACATTGAATAAAATACATTAATTGTATATCAAATGGAATATCCATCCCGGGTATCCAATCTAATATTTAATTTTTAATAATAAATGAAAGAAAAGAAAAAAAGTCTTTCATAAACTTTTTCTTTTTATTTTACTTACCATCCCAAATAAGGTATGGTTGATGGAAATAATCATAACGATAAGTTAATAAGTAAAGATTAAAAGACCATGTAAATGTATAAAATACAGTTTTCCATATTGATTCAGGATATTTTTTTTTATTTACTGGTGTTAATTCAAGCCAATTGACTAATGGCTAAAAAATGAGAAAAGAAAACATTAAAAAAAAAACAATAATTATTATAAAACAAACTTTGCAAATAAATCTTTCAAATGAATATCTTAATAATGTTATACCTATTGCTATATAAATAACATAATAAACTAGATTTAATGAAACATAAATATGTCTTGCAATTTCATTAATAAACGATTCGGGAAATATATAATTCTTCCACATACGTGGTGCATAGTACCATGATATTACATTCCAAATATCTTTTATAAGATCAATATAAGTTGGTGTTAAAGTAAAATTTCCTTTTAAATCTTTCCAATTTTCCAATTGTTCAGCAGTTAAATGAGGATGAGCCATTATTCGGATGTTTTTGTCGTCTAAGATAAAATAAATTTTGTTTAAATTAACATTGATTGTTAATATTCGTTTGTTAATAAATGACGAAAACTATTCGATGATAACATGATTATCGTACGATGACTAAAAATATATATATATATTAAGTAATAAATGACGCATATTATATTTGTGTTCAAATGATAAGAAGACAAAGGTATGCGGTGTAGACTAAACACCATATTTTTCTCTTTTATGTTAGTTTTTCTTTTTAATCTAATAACATTGACCCATAGTGATGTTAGTAACAGAAAAAGAAATGGAAGAAGAGGAAAAAAAAAGGAGACGAGAAGAAATTAAAAGCCATGATGAATATATATATGATTCACAATAAAAAAATCTAGTGGTGCACTACTGTAACAACTAAAAACAGAGAACGTACGACCCAACGTTACATGAATATTATAGGCGTTTTTTATCTACCAATTAGAAGACAAGATAAAATTCTCTATCGGATATGAATTATCTATGCAATGCTTTTCTATACGAAAAGAAAGATTTGCTATAGAAAGGCTGTGGGCACCGTTTAAGGGAAACAACCGTTTAAGGGAAAATATGGACACCATTGTAGAGGCACATGGAATCATTTAATGGCGACTGGTTTAGCACAAAAATCTAGCCATAAATAGAATATATGGACTTTTGAAAAATAGAATTATGTATTATTACTTCTGTTTTTATCATAATATATTCATTTTTGAGATTTTTTAGATTAAATTTAAATGTTCAACTTGTTCTATCAATTTACTCCTGTGTTTTGATTGAGATACTTGTTTAGTGCCGAATTTAAGTTATCCTATGAGATAAGTCGACTTGTCTCATGAGATAACTCGAAATATTAAGAATAACTTGCTCAAACATACGAGGCGACTTATCTCATAGGGTAAGTCGAGTTATCTCATAGAATAAGTCAGAATACTAATTGAGTGAGTAAATATATTTCAGTTAAAAGAAGCGACTTATCCTATGAGATAAGTGGACTTATTCTATGAGATAACTCGACTCTTGTGGCTGAACTACTTTTTTCCAGTATTTCGAGTTATCCTATGAGACAAGTCGACTTACCCTATAGGATAAGTCAAAATACTAAGTGAACAAGTATAAATGTCTTAATTGAAAGTAGTAACTAATGCTATAGGATAAGTTGACTTGTCTCATAGGATAACCCGAATTCTTTGCAAAATGGAATGTCTCGATAGCAAGTTACATCTGTTTAAATTTATAAAAAATTCTGTACTAGTTTTTTTTTCAATTATTGACATATTTTTAAGAGTAATTTAATACAACAAGATGTGTTCCAATTCATGTAACCAATCAGATTTACCATGTATGCCTCTATAATGGTGTCCATATTTTCCCTTAAACGGTTGTTTCCCTTAAACGGTGACTACAAAGGCCGAAAGAAAAAAAAATTATAAATTTCAACTAATAAAACTTTATTTTTGGTATAAGAGGTGGAGGATGCAAAGATGGCACTAGTTACCAGTCGGCGTGTATTATTAATTGTTTTTGCTCTTCGTATTTCATAGACAATGTATAATGAAACTTTGTTGAAAGTTGACTATGTCGAATATTACTATCTACAGATGGAATAGTACGGCAACTCGTCAATTCAGTGCCGGTATAGATTTTAGATCGGTCCGGTCTGACCTATTTAGTAGGAATAGATGATTCCGAATCAGAATTGGAATCGAAAATATTTTAATGCAAAACGATGCACTTCTTTATTTTCTATTTTAACAAATAGTTAACATCAGTAATTGAGAAGTATATATCAATAATGATTTGCTAAACAACAAAAGAGGACTCTTCTAGCTCCGTTTAGCATAGGATAAGTTTAATTCAATGATCTACGTGAGTAATTTATAATTACTTTTAATCATGGGATAAGCAATTCTAAATCGGAACTGGTTTCAGTGATTACGATTACAAAAAAAAAGCCAACTTTGTCCATTCCTACTATTCAGATTGTTATCGATACCGATCGTGAAAAATTCAGGACCGGTTCCATCTTTGGTGAAGCGTGAATGTGGATGTGGATTTTAGTCTTCTCTTCACCTACATTGGTAGCTACTCTAAAGACATCATTGTCTTCTAATATTTTTCTAGTTTCGACATTTTTCCTTTCGACCAATTGAAAAAAAAACAAGTTCGACTAGCCAAATCAGCGTACAAAGCTTTGTTTTATGCTGTCATGTTCATCTCGTTATATTTGTTATATTATATCAAAGAACTGTCGGCATATGTACTTAATTGTTCCATTTTCGTCACTTCTTTTTTTCTTTTAATGTGTCATACTTAAGTGATTTCTCATCAGACCGACACATTTTTACTTAAGTGAATGATAGATTTTCGTTAAGGAATTGTTAATATATGTATGACCGCGATTGAATTAAATTGATCTATATAAACAATAGTGCTGATATTGAATTATCTTGTATTAATATAAAAAGAACACACAAAGGCATCTACTTCTTTCTGATGGTGATTTTTCTTATACATAAAATACGAGACTTAGGATTCAATGAATTAAAATTAAATATTATTTAAGAATTGAAAATGGCTACAACAGCTAAACAAAATCTATTCAATACGACTAACTTTGAATGTATTTTCAAAGTTAATTATCTTTTTTCTAACATCCGTAGACTAATAAAATAAAATACAATAATTTCTGTTAATTGCAACTATGAGGAAGAATATCATATACAGGGCTGGCTTGAGGAAACCAACACTGAAGTGGATGTAAAGATTTTTTTCTCTAAGAAAATGTACGAAAAATTTTCGGCATTTCTAGAAGAAAACATATGTTTTTTTTGGACGGGATGCACGTCATTTCCGTTCCCGGTCGGACCATTCGTGATCACATTGATCGGATCAGCAATTCGCCTAGTGTCACTAAAAAGGATCATGTTTCGTCAAAGTTGAGCAGAAGATTTTTCGAAAGTAAAACGAATAAATTTATTCATCCGAAATTGTTGTTTAGATTTTCATACATTCTACATTGATAGATGTCATTTGTTTTGAATAATAACAAAAATAAATGGTAGCCGTCAACCAAAGGATCGGGACAAATATTAACAATTTTTTATTGGAAGTGATATCTTCTATGGTAGTATAAAATTTGTGCCAAATATCATATTCTCCTGTTGTAAAAGTTTATGCAAAGATTATTAAGTAACGATCACTTCCGTACTTACTGTTATAATTTCTATAGTAAAATGAATCATTTTTTTTTGTAAACAACAGAATTGTCGAATACATAAGTGTACAGAAGAGACGAATAATGAATGTCCAAGAGAGAGAATATTAGAGGTCATAGGGGTTGTGCAAGATGTCTCGAACTCATTGATACTGTTAGAAAATGATGTCGCACTTTTCGTTAGCATGTATACTAATAAGTCCGAAACTCGGACTAAAAACTCTTGATCCCACTCATTACTAGTGATCGATCTTTCCAAGAAGAAACTTCTAGAAAACAAATTTCATCATCGCGAGATCTGTTATCTTAGCTACAAAGACAAATAAAATTATTTTGTGCAGAGCGAAAAAATTTCCAAGAATGTAAGCTTTTTTAAAAAGTTCTGATGAAATTTTAGTTAAACTAGAACTTTCATATATCATTGTTGCAGTGTAAGTTTGAGCTCTTTGTTATATTAAGTTGCTGAGTTATAACAATCCGAAGGTCAAACATAGGTGAGTGAGTTATCTGTGGACAGACTGAGTTCTACTTTTTACCTTCTATATCTTAAATATTTTTGCAATAATCTCTTGATCCATCTTCGTTTAATCAGACAATAGAGTAGACGCATAAGTGCACATACGATATTAAAATATTTTGTAGTAAATATTTGTTGTAGAAAAAAAAATTACAGCTTTGCCTTTTGTCATTGGTATAATATTATTGCAAAATCAATAATTAATCTTTTATTATTTACTTAAATAGTTTTTACTCATAGTCTATATTGGAAATCTTTTTAATATATAACTATCAATAATTGATCAAGTTTTCCTCATAAAACAAGTTCTATTCGCTTCATCCAGTGATATTGATTTTTCTTTTGTATAGAAATTCAGGCATTACAGCTTTAGGATCAATATAAACGAGAGTATTGATAATATTGGAAGATTCTAAAAAGTAATATGACAAATTTGATCTTTTAAGGTATTTCATTTATGTTTTTACTATCATGTAGTCATATCAAAACTTGATGTTCATTATCGAGCATATACAATGCTTAATATTTATAATAGAAATTCTCCAATAATCATATAAACTTGACAATGTACACATTATTATATGTCAAATAAGAATGAAACGAAAAAAAAAGAACATTGTCATCTATATTACGATTGAATTATAAACATCTGGAAAAAACATGTAAAATAGTTTATTAAGTAAAGAATTCATATCAAATCAGAGTTGTATGAGTACGTATTCGTACTTGCCTAGCTGTAGATCAAACACATGGACTTTTCTTACAAAATGTAAAAGTTTTAATAGCATCGAAAAAACAAAGATTTTCAGTGATTTTCAAGAAACTTATTATTACAATCAAATATTTGGAATCATTTAAAAACTTATTAAAATAATCTAAATAATCATAATAGTTAGTAGTACAATTAATCATAGAATAATAATCTTTTACGCATGTCTATTTGTATAAATAAAAACAACATGCAGCAATTACATTGAAAAAATTTTGTTTGATATTATTATTGTTTTCTTTATGGTGTATATTGCGTTTTATAGTGTCATCTTCGTTATAAATGATAAATGGTATTGATTGTATTTTTCAGAATTCTAACTAGAATGGTTAGAGATTTTCTGATAAATTCGATAATAGAAATGTTTATTTCTACCTCAGAACAATAAATTATAAACTTAGTTCGTGGATTATGTCGATCGATTGCTGATTTTATCTCAAACGAAAAAAACGTTTCATTAAGATTGGATCTATGAATACTTTATATTTGTTATTAAAAGAGACATTAGCTCTAAACTTGTTATTTATTTATTTGTTGACATTTCTTAGGAAATACAATATTCTATTTAGATCTGACAGTTTTGCTATTACATGTAGCTAAAAATAAAATATACTTCAATCAATATATTATATTTGATTGAAAATCCTTTGGTATTTCATCTTAATTTGGTAAAAAAACAGTCAGACGTATTGCCAATGGGCGGTTTCAGAATCCTTATTATTTGGAGTGTAGGCTTCGTTCGATCAGTTAATTATTTAATCTCTTGAATGAATTCTTTTGTTGATCTTCAAACAAATGAAAATACACATCAATTGATACTCTGTTGAATTGATGTTGTTCTGACATTAATCGACTCTGAAAACAGTTCTGCTTTCGTTTCTTTATCTGTCAAAAGAGTTTAAAATTTTATTTTTCTCTTTTAATTGTATAAAACTTATTTGTATATTATATATTTCTATGAGCTTTATAATTAAAGATTTATGTTATGATTATTCACCGTTAGTTTGATTTAAATTTCGAAAATGTTGAATCATATTATATCTTAAGTAAAAAAAGTCACTACAGAATGGAAATATGAATCTATAAAATTACTTATTTCTTTTTAACTATCTTCTATAAATTATCTTATATATTAAAACATTTTCTGACAATTATTTTATTAATAATCTTCTTAGAATTATCTATAGATTGTAATTTTTATTGTTGACTTTGCAAGTTTTTAAAGCTAGAAATAAATTAAGCAGATTACAATTAACAGAAGAGTGAAAAGAAAAACATATAAAGTCGTTATAAGTACAAAATATGTCTTAATATTGAATGAAAAAGTCTATGAAAATTAATTATTATTATATAGAGATCAAAAAATGTAATAATATTTTCTATGAAATATCAAAATTAATCCCTTCAATTCATTAAAATCTTCATTTGATAATATATAGTCATATATATATAAGACACATTATACAAATAGTTGTCATTTTATGAGTATACTTTCTTATAAATTATTATACAGATAGATTATTTTTATAAGCATTTACAAAATCTTGCTATATTTTTTATCAACCAATATTTTACAATTAAATTTAAATCTGAAATTTTACATAATATTTTCATATGTGTTAAAAATTCATGCAGAAAAACAAAAAAACAATTTTCAATAGATATCAAGTTTTCATCTATAATCACTTTTTTTGAATATTTAGTAATAAGTCAAAATATGTATCAGTATTCTCATTATCCAAATCGTTGCATTTAATTATTGGTATCTTCTCTCTCATTGCCATTGAATACAGCAATAGTATGCCAACAGCCATATTTTTTTTCCATTTCTCTGCTTCTCTTTTTTCTTCTATCGTCTTGTTTGTCTTATATGAGTACGGTTTGTTCGCTCGACCAAAGTTCGCGGGCATCAGACTGATTATGAACAAGACAAAAAAGAAATTGACGAATAGAAAATGAGAAAAGAATGCAAACTGGGCGCGGCGCCAAAAGATCGGATAGGATGAAAAACTCAGAATCATTGTATATAGTAAGCAATAGATATATGCAAGGATATTAAATAATCTCATATCAATATAAACGAACATATGAAAAACTACTATATTCTCCTTCGACAATATGAACAAATAATAGTTAACGTTTAAAATAATAAATGATTATTATTTTCATAATATTTTCTTTTTCGGAATGATATGTCTGAAATTTATAATTCTCAATGATTAATTTCATTCTTAAAATAGTTGATTTTGAAAATTTTACAAAAATCTTCTTTTCTTCAGTTTTTGTTTCTTGAGTCTTAGATTTTGACAACCATATAAACTCGTTTATCCACGCCATCTGTATGTATAGATTATGCGTCGCTATTCTCTCTTTCTTCAGCAATGTACACATCGACATCTCTCTCTCTCTCTCTCTCTTTTCCCTTTCTAAGCAACAACAACAAAAATTCTTCATCTTCGTATCGATGGTGTATTCTCTTCCATCACAGCATTCTCTTCGTACGAACACATATATATGTGAATAATGAATCGACGGCGAGTGCGCGCAGTCGATGCAAGTAGAAGAGGAAAAAAGTCAAATAAACGCATTCGGATTTCGCCATTAAACAGAATGAGAAAAAAAAAATGGAGGAGAAGAAGAAACATACTGTGTCTGCCACACATATCAACTATAGTTGGTTAGTGAGTGTATGTGCGTGTGCACACACACATATATACGAACGAACGAGAAAGAAAGCCTTAACTAAGCAGCAAAAAAAAAGAAAGAGAACACGAAGAAAAAAAAGCAATATAAACTACAGGCAAAATGGTCGTCATCGACAAGCCGAGCGACCGACAACGAAAGAGCAGGAAAAAAGATGGTAAAATATATATATATATATATGTTTGGAGCTTCGACGAGAAAAGAACGATAAAAAAAGGAAAAGAGGAGAAACACGAAGAGAAATAAGACTGTACCTACACTAACGCCATCGCGCGAGTAAGAAGAAATGATGGAAGAGTTTTCTCGTCAGTACTGTTTGCTGTTGTGTTATTGTTGAAGAGAACGAGGTGCGCTTACTGCCATCACTACCAACTCCATCTTTCTTTTTTTTTTTAATAAACATGTTGGTTCTTTTATATGAAAAACCGAATAGGAAGAAAGAAAGAAAAAATAGCAGAATTGTTGCAATCTATCTTGGCGCGTTTTCCATCTCATGTTCACTCGAGTTTTTTTTTCCTCTCTCTTTCTGTGTTTCTTCTGTCCTTCTGTGTGTCGTCAGCGGGAAAATAGCTTGAGAAATTGCGCGCGTTTGACAGTTTTCCTATTACCTTTCTATTCGTACACAGATAGAAATTCGTGTATATATATATTCTCATTGATTAATATTATCATAAGAAATAATATTAGAAAAGAAAAAAGAAATTTGAAAATAATATTTCCTTGAATTTAAATAATTAAAAATCCTTCTTTATCTTTCTTTTTTTTTTGTTTATTTAGATAATTTACTTGAATTATTTTTGTATTTTTATCTAATCAATATTATTTTATTCAGTGGCAAATACATTTTTCTTTTTTTTTATAATATGTATTAAATAAAAGAAAAGTGATAATAAACGTGCACATATAAATCAATCGAAATTATGTAAGTGAAATATTTTTTTTTGTTTATTGCTATTAAAAGAAAATACCTTTATTTATTTGATTAAATGTGTCGATTTTGACATCTATTTGTATATAACGTTTTAGCTTCTTTTATAATTTTTTTTGGCTATCAGTCAAAAGAGCGTAAAGTCGATTACTATTACAATGTACCATAATATTCATTCATTGATTGAGTCCCGCCTTACATCTATATTTATACATATATATATATATATATATATATACAAATTTCTTCCTCTTAATAAAAACTGTCTAAAATACATATGACGAACGAGACGAGAGAACAAGAGATCGTAAAAAAAACAGCTGATTGTCAAAACAATTACCGCTAGACAGACAGATGATTGTGTTACACGTGTTTTATCGAAGGGTAACATAGTATGAAAGGGAAAGGGAGAAATTATTGATTTCAAGGTACATGTAACTAATAAGTGTGTACTTCATGATGTTTTAATACTTTAGATCAATTGATGATGTGTGACAATCTTTCATTGTACAAATCATTTGTTCCATCAACACCAATACTTCCCCAAACAGAATCAACAACAATGAATTTACAGTTTTTTCCTGCGTATGATGAAGATAATGAACATAGATCATGTATGAGTGTCAAACGAAAACTGTCAGGTTTGTATTTATTCGAAAAAAAGAAAAGAATATTAGAATAATAATTGTTAAATTATCGTAAGAAATATTCCTCGAAAGTTTTATTCTTTTTTTTTGTTTTACAATGAAGAGAATTTTTGAATATAACGTGAATGTTTGACGCTTTGATTTTGAATAGAAATATTAAATGAGGATGTATTGTTATAGATTTGAGCATCTGCTCAGATTCGAATGATGTATATACATATATTGATTAATAAAGTATCGATTAGAGTTCAACTATAAAAATCAAACCCGATTATATAAAAAAAAATAAGACTGTTCAATTGAGCAGTCAAGTATCGATTAAATTTCTTTCAGTATTTCAAAATCGTTTGATATAATACAATTCAGATCGAAAATATTTTTTGGTCAAATATTTATAAATCTTTCAGCATTACATTAGGTTATCGAATTTTCTCAGCATCAATGCCAGTAGAAATGAAAACAAGTTACGATGAGATCTCATCGAATTTCTCAATCGACTTACGAAGGAAATCCCTCAAATGATTAATTACTTTAAAGCCGGAAGCATGTGTATCATGTAGACCCTAATAAATTATGAATACCCCGAAAAAGAGTATGACCCTATAGTTTATTCCTGTCGACATATGACATTTTTAAGTACAATGCCATAGTTTCTCTCTGGGTAACACAAGGAAAACTGATTTTCGAATTTCAATTTGCAACTTTAGGTAGAAACAAATCTTAACGAGAATATTTAATTATGAAAATATTGGACCATTTGATCTATTTCTGCCTTAAAATAAGAACATTGAATATATGAGTATATATGAATGATGTAAAAGACACGTTTTGACTGTGTGGTTACATCTTGGAGTCAAAATTCGAAAATCACTTTTCCTGGTATTATTCATAGAGAGTCTACGGTATTGTACTGGAAAATGTAATATGTTGGCAGCAATAAACTATGCATCCGAACTCTTTTTCGATATATTCATAATCCATTAGGATCTTCATGATACGGATAGTCCTAGTTTAAAAGCGATTGATCAATCGAGGAACTTTCCTCAATAGTATTTTTAATTACACCGAAAAAAAAAAAGGAAAGAAAAATCTTACTTATTGTTATTTCTCATGTTTTATTCGTTAATTTTATTCAATACCAAGATAAAAAACATGATGTAAATTATCAACTGTATAATTTTTCAAAATTTATTCAAATTCATTTTGTTTTCTTTGGACCTAGACATATATTGTTCTTTTACTCTTAAATGATTTCACTTTATTATTTTTCTTTTTTTTTGAATTCTAGCCTATGAAGATAATAGTTCTTCAATAACAACATTGAATCACATATCAACATCATTAGATTGTAATAATAGTGATGAATCTGATGAAGATGAAAATGATGATAATGATAATGATAATGATGATGATGATGATGATGATGGTAGTTCTGGTGATGATGAAACCCTAAGTGATGATGAATCACATCATGTTAATTCATCGATAACACCTTGTACAATAATACAACGACGTCATAGTGATACAATTCATACATCTTATGGTACACCAATTGTTAAACGTCGTTGCACATATTCGTCAATGCATGATGATGAACAAAAACGTTCTGTACTTGTTGAATCTTATAGAAAATTACGTGGTGTTAAAAAACCAAAATTACAAGTTAGTTTGTTAATATGTAATTTAATAAAACGATTAGAAAAAACATTTACAAAAACTCCTCCGTTAAGACAACAACAACAACAACAACAACAAGAACATGTACAGTATTATCAACATCATCGAACAACTTATCGTTCATCATCGTCAGATAGTATTTATATGTCTCCATTATCATCAACATTAGTAAATGATGAAATAGAAACAACAAATCAACAGTATTCATCTTCACATTCATCGAATTATGATTCGGATAAAGTATTATTACCAGTCAATGATTTACGATCAACATCGTCGATGTATCATTCATCATCAACTGATGCATATTGGCTTGCTCAATCAAATTTTGCAGTACCTGTTGTATCAATATCAGATGATGATGATGTTGATGTATCATTACATGGTGGTGGTGATTATCTTGATTTAAGTGACAATACATTGTCGTCTTCCTTTTCATCATCATCATCTTCTTCATCAAATGATTGTTGTTGTTCATCAACGTCTTCTCCAACAATAACTAAACTTCTTGTTGATAATAATAATAACAATAATAATAATGATGGTTATTTTATTTATCATCATCATCATCATCATCATACATCATCAACAACAGGACAAACATTTTTTTATCCTCATAATGGAAATAATACCGTTGATATAATAACAACAGCTTGACATCATTTTCTTACTCTATTCGTATTTATTTGTTGTGCATCTATTTCTTATTTATTTATTTTTTTGCCATTGTCAAATGATAAATCTTCTTCTTTCTTCTTCATTGCAAAATTGAAAAAAAACAAAACTAAGATACATGCTTCATATTGCATGTGTAATGTGTGTAAGACAAGAATATTGTCTGTGGTATGGAAAGTTTTCTTTTTTTTCATATATGAAACTTCTGTTTTCTTTTTATTTGTTGATGTTGTTGTTTGTTCACTTCTTTTTTTTTCAATTTGTGCCTCTGGGTTTTGTTTCTCTTTTTTTTTTTTTTGTTTTACAAATTCTCTTGAACTTCTTTTTTTTTCTATGAAATTTCATGATGATGTTGAAAGGAGAAGAATGCGAAAAAAAAACAAATTAGTTAAATATTAAAAAGGACTTTGAAAAGATTAGAAAATACTTGAGAAAAATTGCTACGATATAATTGTTCATATCCGAGAAGTTTGTACTTGTCTCATACTTTTAATTGAGTTAGAAAGACATAATTAATTGAGGCTTCTTATCAAAATTGTACAAATGTTCTTGATAATATAACTTTGTATACTATGCATATTCTTACAAATCTTGAAATCATCTATGTCTCCCGTTATATTCTACAATCACATTGAACTAATACCATTTCTCACCTAAAAAAAACTGATTTTGCATCAGGTACATTCAAATCGTCTGAAATTTTTCGAACATGTTGAAACTACAGTGACGAGAGTAGGATAAAATTTTCAAGTTTATACCATCACGTTTGAAAGAGATAGTCGTCAAACATGGATTAAAAATAGCCTATATAGCAATCTGAAATTCTCTATAGATCCTCATGCTATTTATATTTAACTAGGATTTTGTTTGAGAGAGCATGTCAAGATGCAGGGCATGATAACCTTTTCTTCTTTAAATTCTTACTTTTTATCCAGAGGAAAAGTGTGATAATGTCAATCTCTGGGAAAAGCCTCTAAGAAGGCAAATCTATTTATAGAAATACGTGTAAATATTAAAAAAAATACGGAGCTTAATTAAAATAAGAGATTCTATTATGTTCTATATCTTAGAATACTCTTTCAAACTAAGAAAAGAAAATAATTGACTACAATGTGGATTTTGTTAGAATTCTCAGATACGCGATAAAAAAGAAAATTATAAACAGAGAAAAATTGAAAAAAGATTTTTTAAATAGACATCTGCTAAGGTTTTAGTATTTTTAACTCGTCTCGATATTTTATCGACTAGTTAATTTCTCCTGAATGTGGAGAAAAATATCACAAAATCCATGGTGATGGGAGATAATGACAGAAATCTTTGAAAATCATATTAAAAACAAACGGTTAAGCAACCAACTATATTAATTATGAAAGATTAAATTGTAGATTATCATTCCATGCATATATCTTAATTTTGATTTTTTTATGATTGAAAAAGAAAAATTCTATTTAGAACTATACTACTACAGTAAATGACTAGTTATGATAGAAAATAAAAGTTCTCGCGTAGAAAAATAGTTACTAGGCTAACAAAAGAACACCAATGTTTAATACCCATACAGTGTTAAAAAAATTTATTGTCTTCCTAATCTATTAAATAAGAATAACTAATGCTTGTTCAAAAGTATAATAATCGTAGCCATTTTTTTCGAATAACTTTCGCTACGAAAAAATAGAGATCTGTTGTTTTCATGATTCAAAAGAAGAAGATCATCGGAGAGCGTAGAAGTACGTCAAATTTGTTAATTTAGCAATGGAATAATCAGATGAGATCTAAATAGATACATTGAAAAATAATATTCTGAATGCATTTTTTATTTGATCTTACATTTAAACAAGACGATTCCATCTACGCAAAGACAATACTTCTATCTTGCATCACTCAAGAGTCAGAAGAGTCTCCTTAAGGTCACTAATTTTGGCCAACTCACCTGAGATCATCTGAAAAATAGGCGTGAAGAGAGATCATTAATCATGCTGAGATTGTTTTTTTTTGTTTCAAAGCGATTTGAAACCGATTAATGTAAGTTTTCAAGGTATCGGCTCTTTATACTACGAACCCGGTAAATTAGAAATTTGAAAAATCTTTCTAGTTTTTTCCAATTACATTGAATCAAAAACAAACAATACTACTAGACTTGAGAGGGAATCGGTCTGGATCTTTTACAACGGTAAGGATGCAGAATCTATCGTTCAAATGAAAAATTTTCCCCACTGTCGAAGTAAAAGAAATCTCGCTTTTAAACATATTTTTTAAAGAAATGAAAGCAAAAACAAGACTACTATAGGTTCAAAATAATGTTATCTAAACAATACATTAGATCCATCAATCATCGACTGATTCTGCTAATCTTGTTACTAGTTCATTCTGGAAACAGTTGATAACAATTGAAGCAGAATGCAGAAGTTTCTACATTTGATATTGTTCACTTTTTTTTATTATAAAATAAATAGTTTTCGTCCTTCATAGTTTTGAAATAATCATCGAATAAATGTTCAATAAATGAATCAGTTAAATGTAATGGAGGAGCATTCTAATAAAGCATCACTTCATTATCTAAAGAATCATGCAGTAATGAACAATTATTGTGGATATGTCGTTTTAAAATCAATGTTACCAATTTACAAATGGTTTCGCTTCTAATTTTCAGTATCATCAATAAATAAAAACGGAGGAAATCATTGATGTCATCAGATAAACATGCACTTGTTCTTTACTTGGAACCATTTTCAACTTTTAAAATTGAGAAACTTTGATGACATCCAAATTTCGATAAAGAAATAGAGTGAATGAGAAAAAATAAGCAACTGCTATGATTTATGTTAGCCTTTTCTCTTTGATATATATCTTCCCGTTCTTTTTCTTCTTCTCTTTTCTTTTTTTTTCCTGCTTAGATGTAGATAAATTTCGTTATGTCTATATAAATGTTGGTAGAAGAAATTAAAAAAAAAAGCAGCTACATTATTCCCTGTTATTGAATAAATCCGATAATCTGTGTACGAAGTTCATGTCCTAATATCTACAATAGAAAAACTTTTCTCTCTAATTTCCCATATTAAAAAAATTTTATTAAAGTCAATAATTTTTCAAAATTTTCCCTAATACGCGTTGGCGCACATGGATAGATTCTGTACTCCTGTCCAACGGTACCCTTCCGAAATTCGTACCGAACTGGTCGGTAATCAGTACCAGTACCATCTCTACACTAGACTCAGCATGATTAATGACCTTTTTTCAAGCCTATTTTTCGAGTGATCCCAGTTCGATTAACTGAAATTAGTGGTCTCAGGAAACTTCTATTAACTGTTGAGCAAAGTAAGATTGAGACGTCGATTTTGCATAGATCGATCGAGCACAATTTTTTTTTATATCGAATTGTCATGTCAAAACTCAAAAATCGAATGAAAAATGCGTTTAGAATGTTTGCTTTCCAAAATGTCTATCGAGATTTGATCTGATTGGTTGGTCACTGAACTAACAAATTTAATGTGCTTCTAAGTCTTCGATGTCTTATTTTGAATAATAAAAACTGCAGGTCTCTATCTTGTTTCTAGTGAAAGTTATTCGAAAAATAGCTATGGCCATTATATTTTCAAATAAACTTCTTCAGTACTTTATTCTATTTTGAATGAGAACCGAGATCATCATAGACAACGCATTCGACCTGACAATTGCCAAAAATACATATAATAAGAAAAAAAACATCATTTACTGGACTAATACAACTATTGTACTTTGGACATATGATTCAATTGATTCTACAATATAAAAAAAATTACAATAATTTTTTTAAAACGATACATATGATTTGAAAATAAATTTCAAAATGAAATTATTTTCAATAATTCGTTAATCTTCTATTAATCGACTCAAAGCGCCCTCGAACCTATAACATAAACTATTGGACAATGTGTCATAAGCTTGTTGACAGAGTTTCGTTTTTCGTTCTCATTCTATTTATTGCCTTCCGTTTGTCATTCGTTTGTATATTCGCGTGTATAGAGAAAAAAAAAATAATAGAACGAAAAAAGAAAAAAAAGGCAAGCTACTTATCAACAACCAAATAGTAGTTAACGTCAAAAAAATTGCCGTATTGAAAACGATATTTAATATTTTGTTTATTATAGACTTACATTGACTTAAAAATTAATCCAAAAATATCAAATTGACATATCTTTATATATCTTATTCTGTGGATGAGCCATTCTTAAAAATGTAATTTTATAGGAAATGGCCGCAAGATCATATTCCGTGCCTTCATTAAAATTAAATGAAATTCCAGACCATTTAAAAATTGGTACATTTGCATTGAAATGGCCTGAAGAAATAAAAAAGTCTCCAGTAATAATAGTTAAATAAATGTTTATACGATTAAATCTATATATTTTTCTTAGACTCCCATCATGGTCAATTTATCGATTGATGCAAAAGGTTTTTATCTAATTTGCTTGAATAAAGCCAAAAAAGTATGTCTATATAAATCAATAGAAAGACAATGATACTTTTTATTTTTTTGTCTTTTCAGGAAAACGAATGTTTTGATCTTGCATTGATCCATGATACTCGTACAGGTTCACAAGTATCACTTCCTTCAGTAAAATAAATCATTTTTGAAAAAAAAAAAAACGAATCTTTGCATACATTGATATTGTTAGGGTCATGAATATTTTCAAAAAAATAATATTGGTGTACTCGATGTTCCAATTGCATCAAAATGGCTCACAATTTATTATGGTAATACATTTGTTGCTTCTGATATGCGTTTAATTCATTTTTATTTTGAATCACCAAGTATTGCTGAAGTATTATAAGATTTAACAAATAATTTATATATTTAATTGAATTTTTTTCTTAAATAGGAATGGGCTGAACGATTATTTCAATTTGGACATAATCAAATTTTAAGACATTTATCTAGTTTAGGTTGTCTTGAAAAACTTCATTCAAGAATTATTAATAGTTTAATTGATGTAAATAGAAAAACAATTTCTGTTCGAAGGTATTGCATTTTAAATATTTTATTTTTAGTTATTTTTTTTAATATTTTATAGTTTAATTCAATTTTTATGTAAAAACACTCGTGATAGTAATAAAGAAAAAACAATACTTCGAGCATTGAACTACTTAAAATTACCATGTCAAGTGGTAAGTAAAGAAAAATTATCAAATAAATTTATTTAACTTAAACAACATATATATGTATATATATATATATTAGGATTCTACGATCAATCTAGATGAATTTACTTTCAATAATTTTTTTCGTCTTTATATGCGTCTGATGGAGTGTCATGAAATTGATAAATTATTTGAATCATTGTAAGAATTTTGTTTTTATTTCTATAGATGATTAGATCTAAAAGCAATATAAAGTAACGAGCGAAGTTCTTTAATTGATTAATTACTTTTGAGTCGAGACTATATACATTATGTAGACTCGAATAAACTATGAATACTCTGAAATGAGTTCGACTACTTAGCTTATTTCTATGCATATATTACATCTTTTAAGGTATTTTTTAAATCGATATCGTGATTGCCTTTAGGAACATTGGAAAAACTGATTTTCAAATTTCAAGTTGAAATTTTGCATCGAAATAGATCTTAACGACAATGGTTTATTGTCAGTTTCAGATTTTTTCGTTATTCCTATCTTGGGATACGATTATGACAAAAAAAAAAGTGTCTTTTACATCGCTCATATATATCAAAGCACATTCGATGTTCGTATTTCAGGATAGGAGAAAATCAAAAGATCTGAGACTTCGCACAATATACTATTCCGGTTAAGACTTGTCTCTGTACAATATTCTTGAAATCGAAATTCGAAAATCAATTTTTCTGGAGTTCTTGATGGACACCACGGCATCGACTTAAAAAATACCGTAAAAATGCAGTACCATACAAGTTCCGAAGCAATACTTTTTGTAATAGATAGAAGTGAGAAAAAGCTACTAAATAGAATTGATTTTATTTTAAAAAATATTTTATTGTAGATGAAGACAAAAGTATCCGTAATATTTTTCGATCTTTTTTTGAAACAATTCAATTATTCGAAAGCCAAAAGTAATTGTTATTCACAGACTTCTTGTTGTTGTTGTTTTTCAGTAATAAAAATATTTCTGTCATCAAAAACTGAATACTAAAGATGCAGAAAGAATATTATTAAAAAGGGGCTAACCCATGTGATAATTACCGGCGATATTTTTGAGTATTGTATCTTGATGTATTATATCAAAACTGTGAGTCGTATGTACTAGGCACAGAACCTACATCGACCTCAAACATGAGATAGATTTTTATAATAAATGACGCTACAAATATTTTTATTAGTAAAATATATTCTGAAACTATTTTCTTCATGATGAATTTAAATTGTTTCTAATAAATAATTCACAATTGGATAAAAAACACTCTCTGTGATCTTTGATAGTTGGTACCAAAAAATTGTAAGCACTAACATCGGTTCTTATGAGTGTCATAGTAAACTGACAGTAGTGTAAAAAAACATTTGACATGGAAATTTTTTTATGACTCATTCTGTAATACATAAAAAAAAACAAACGATCTTTCCTATGAATGCTTATTATACTCATTTACATTTTTATTATTCATTTTAAAATCAAAAAGTAATCAAAAATACTTTTTACGAAACAAACTACTTTCATTCATAAATAAAGTATTCTGACAAATATATCGATTTATTCAGAGGATCCCTATGCTATTTTCGAATACACATCCACCACACATAATAAAAGACCTCGAGTCTTTTTTTGTATTTTGAGTGTGCAAACTTTTTAGAATCTAAATCCGACATAAATACATTTAATTTCTAAATAAATAGTGACAGAAAAAAAATACATCAGAATGAATTATATGTTTGTGTAATATAGAGTTAAAAATCTTATTTTATAATAGGGATAGAAAACGTCAACGATATCTTAGTTGGGAAAATATGAAAGTGTTTATTCAAAAACAAAATGCTGCACTTAACGATACTTATACAATGGATCTTTATGAACAAAAAGCTAAAGATTTAATTAAAAAATATACAGAATATGATGGAAATTTCAAAGAAAAAGGTTCTATGAATTATTTAATTTTATTTATTGAATAGTTTGTTTTTTGTTTAATTTTTAAAGGAATGTCGAATGAATTATTTCTTCGATATTTACTTAGTTTCGATAATTTAATTATTGATCCAAAAAAATTAGATCTATGTATGGACATGAATAAACCTTTAGCGCATTATTTTATATCATCATCTCATAATACATATCTAACAGGTTTGTTGTCTTTTTTTTTTTCATCAATTTAGTATTTTCTACTCTAAAAACCATAATACCCGTAGCTATTTTTTGAATAACGTTTGATAAAAAGCGACGAAGAGAGCTGAAATTTTCACCATTCAAAAGAGAACACTTGGAACCATCGAAGTAAGTCGAAATATGATTAATGACCAATCAGGTGAGGTCTCAACGAAGATTTTGTAAACAAAATTCTGAAGTCATTTCCCATTAGATTTTGATGTGTAATACAGCTAATCGGTAGAGAAAAGTCTTCTCTTTCAATCTGCATAAACTCCAACATCATAGCTACTTCTCTTCGAGAGTTACAAGGGTTTTTCTGAGACTCTTCGATTTCAGCAAATCGACCATGGAAGACTAGAAAAGAGCTCCAGACAGAGGTAATTCATTATGCTTAGTCGAATGATGATGTTTGTTTTCAGTTTTAAAGCGATTTGATACCACTATTTAAACATGTCTAAAATTTCTCCTATACAGCATAATAATCGAAGTTTTGAAAATGTTCAAATAACGGTCTCAAATCGTTTTGAAACTGAAAACAAACGTCATCATTCGGCTCAGCGTGGTGAATTGCTCCTATCTGAAATCTTCCTAGGTCAATATGCTGGAATCGGAGGTCTCAGAAAAACCCTTGTAGCTCTCGAACGAAAGCAGCTGCAAGGTGGAGGGTTTGTGTAGATCGAAAGAGAAGATTTTCTCTACCGATTGGCTATATTACACATCAAAATCTAATGGAAAATGATTTCAAAACCTCGTTTTCAGCTAAGAGCTCACTTGATTGGTCATTGCTAACCAATCATAATATCGATAGTTCTAGTTGTTCTGTCTTGAATGGTGAAAACCTCATCTCTTTTCATCGTTCTCATCAGAACTTATCCAAAAAAAATAACAATAAACAGCATTGTTTTTGTTTTAAATGTATATTAGTTTTTTTTTTGAAAGAAAACTAATTCTTCTTTAGGATCCCAATGGACTGGACGTTCAAGTGTTGAAATGTATCGACAAGTATTATTAACTGGATGTCGATGTATTGAATTGGATGTAGTCGATTCAGAAAGAAAAAATGATGAACCTGAAATAAAACACAAAAACACACCTGTTAGACCTGTCCTTTTTATTGAAGTTATTGTTGCTATTAAAGAATACGCTTTTAAAGTGACTCCATATCCATTAATACTTTCAATTGAAAATCATTGTGGGTAAATAGAATAAATAAATATTTTCAAAAACGAAAAGACCAAAACAAAACAAAAAAACATGTCGTTTGTTTTCTCTTTTTTTTTCACTTGTATAGTCCTAAAGCTCAAGCTAAAATGGCTCAATATTTTGTTGATGTATTCGGTGAATATCTCATAACAGAACCACTTAAAACACATCCATGTGAAGAACATTATCCATTACCAAGTCCAAATGATCTTAAATATAAAATTTTAATTAAAAATAAAAAATTAAATCCAAATCTAACTTCAAAACTAAACAATGAAAATAATCGACTACTTCCTCGAAAACAAACTACAACATCAACAACTAGTAGTAGTGATCAAAGTATTGATATGAGTACAGTTTCATCATCTTCGAAAAATTTATGTCATACAACACTATCAGATGAATCAACTAAAAGTAAAGAAACATTATTTGAACAAATGTCTCCATTGGAAAATCATCAACAATTAGTAAATAAAAATCCTCGTTATTGTGTTCTTATTGATGATGGAAATTCATCTGATGATGGTACAGATATTAATGAAATAAATTCTAATGAATATCAATCATCAACTAATGATAGATATCGTGAATCAAAAGCAACAAAAGCTATGTCGGATCTTGTTCATTATATAGTTCCTGTACGATTTAAAACATTTGCATTAGCAGAAGAACGTAATAGAAGTTATGAAATATCATCATTTTCGGAAGAGAAAGCATACAATTTAATTCGTGAACAAGCAAAAGAATTTCTTGCTTATAATCAACGACAATTATGTCGAATATATCCACGTGGTACACGTTTGGATTCAAGTAATTATAATCCATATATATATTGGCCTATTGGATGTCAAATGTGTGCATTAAATTATCAAACATTAGGTAAGAAAAACAAAACAAAACCTGTAACTATTTATTTTTGTGGAACTTACATTATGTTTTTTTCGAAGAAAAATATAGTAAGTGTAACTTTTAAGTCGACATTTTGCGACTCCTCCCATCCTCCACACAATGCAAACGAGGAAAGTCTAAGAACTGAGAAATAGAAGTTTCTAAGTTGTGAGAAAACTCTCAACGAAACTATGATAATTCCAAGGAGAAACGAGAATTAACCATCAGTTCATTCACAGTTCCACTATTCATAATAAAAGTCAAAGTGATGCTCTTTCTACAATAGATTTCATACCTATACATTCTTGTTCACAAATTCCTTGATGGATATCAATGTAAGAGTTAAAAGTATGTGAATATTATGTTTTGTTATTTTAGCAGTTATGGAACTGTGGAAAAACTGATAAAAAATTCCTGTTTCTCAGTCCTTGGGCATTCCCCTGAAGGAAGAGACGGAAGGTCATTAACCATTAGGTACGTTTTCCTAGCAACCGACGACAACGATCGTTAGACTCCTTTCGCAGACTTCTTTAGCAACGGAAAAAGGTGCTGAACGGTAGAGATATGTAAAATAAGCTTTTTTCGTACCTTATACCATTATCCTATCCTACAGGGTAGGATAGAATAACCCTAAGTATCTCTATTGAGCGACATTAATCACAAGACTTAGACTGTTATAGAACATTCAAAAGGTTTCCTTGAAATTGGTTTGGCTGGAATACGTTTGTGAATATTCTATATATTGCACTTTTTTGGTTTTTGCACAAATAGAAATTAATGTTGAAGATGTTAAGAATGATGAATAGTGATACGTTGATTTGCCAAAGCCGTCTTTATGATCAGCATAAAAAGCACGAACTGCTGAAGTTATAACTTTGGGAAATAATTAATATCAGTATTTCTGAACTGATCGAAATAAATCAATAGTTAGAATACTAATAATGATAAATTAAGAAAAATAAAATACAAAAATGAAAACCAACAAGACAAATAGAACGCCAGTAAACAAAAGAAAAAATTTCTTTGGGATATGTAAAAGTAAATAAGACAGATTGTTTCCTTTACGATCGATTATTCTTAGAAAACAACTATAGTCTGCTTAAGATTTTTTCCTTAATACACACTAAAATAAAATGTGTCACACTTATGTGTCGCTATCTAGTGTCACAGGTTCTCTCACGAAAATGTATCGTATTATGAATTTGTCGTGTCCTATCTGATGACTATTCATTCATCGTTCTATTTTGCACATACAGCTACATATAGACAACTCGACTGAACATGTGACACTTGTGTATTTTCATGCGTTTTTTTTCTCGATTAGTTATGAATCGAGAACATGCCGATCTCGATCGATGATGAAGATCGAACAGATCTCAAGATTTAGTCGGCTTGAATTTTCAGAATAGGAATAATTAAATCGAATTAAATTGAAAAAAATTCCATCATTTGCTTTCATAGAAAAGAAAAATTTTAAAAATTCGCTGTATACTAGATTCGTACCATGTTTTCAGAATGTGTCACATGTGTCGTAGAAGAATGTGGTGGGTCATTGTTGAACAAAATGTGTCGCAAAGTACGACACATTATATATTAGTATGTATATTTTGTATTAGTATAATAAGACTCAAGAATACATGTGAGTTCCATATTTTAGTTCCAAAGAGATTACGTTGATAAGCTTTTAATCAATTAATTTTATTTTAGATGCCGCGATGCAGCTTAATTTAGGTTTATTTTCATTTAATAATGGTTGTGGTTATATAGAAAAACCATCAGCATTATGTCAATCAAAAAGTTCATTTGATCCAAGAATTCGAATGAATGTTGAAAATGTTGCTGGTTATCAAATTTATATAAAAGTTATATCGGGTCAATTTTTATGTCAAGATCGTGAACCAACATTTGTTGATATTCAAATGTATGGAATGTATGGTGATGCAAATAAACGAAATGAATTTCTTGTACGTGCTAAACGTTGGAATGGTTTTCAAGCTATTTATGATGATATAGATATTGATTCAAATAAATATTCTATTCGATTTCCAAATGTTACCTTACCAGAAATGGCTGCACTTCGTTTTGTTGTTTCAACTGAAGATGGAACACTTCTAGGACAAAGTTTTATACCTATTGCTCATATACGTCCTGGTTATCGTTATGTTGTATTACGAAATCAAATGAATATACCTATTCATTCATCAAGTTTATTGATATTTATTCAAATAAATGTTCATATTAAGGCTGAAGATCAAGACTTTGCTAATAAACTTGTTGAACCATTAAAAGATCAAACTAAGGATTTAAATAAATCAAATCAAGATTCAAATAATGAAAAAAATCAATATAATGATATTTTTTCGAAAATGCTAATAAGAAATCATAGTTCATTTCCGATTCAACAAGAAAATACTAGTGCAAAACGAAGTGAAACAACAACATCATCAGATGAAACAAATTGGTATCAAAAACATTTAATTGCTGCTAGTAGATTACATGATAGAAAAACTTTATGCAAAGTTCTTTCATTCAATGATATCATATCAAAAGAAGTTGTTAAAAGAGATGAAAGTATTCCTAGCAAACTACGACGTATTTCAATTGATTATCAAAAGGTATGTTTTAAGAATAAATTTATTAGTAAAAAAAAAAATTTTAGAAGTTACTTCGAAGAAAAAAGATTTAGAGAATTTTTGGAAAATTTTCTTTTGAAATAGTTATTTAGTTCTCAAAATTGAGTTTACTTAAAAATTTAATAATTCATAAGAATGATATTCTTTCTAGATCAAATTTTTCGAAACACTTTATAAATATGCAGAAATCTCAATCGATAGACTGATAAGGGAACTTTTTTTAAGTGTCAAATCGCTTTTGCGTCCAGACTATGTGTATCATGCAGGTTCTATTGAGCTATGAGTACCTTGAAATGAGTTCGGACTAATAGCTTATTACTGTCGTGTAGAGTTCATCGAGTTCAAGAATTTCTGAACTCGGACTGGGACTCGATCGAAGCAAAATTTTCAGACCCGGACTCGGCCAGGTCCGGGTAGGATCCGATAGGCTCTACTGTTGTAGTCTCCCTCAACAACACAAGGAAAATTGAGTTTTGAATTTCGACTTGAAACTTTGCATAGAGATAATAAGTTAATAGCCCGAACTCTTTTCGGAGTATTCATAGCTCACTGGAACCTACATGGTGGGTATAGGCTCGATTCAAAAGAGATGTAACACATGAAAGCGTTCCCTTGTGAATCATTTTTTTCAGCCTTCGACGCAGAAAGTTCCCAAGTGATTATTCGCTTTTGAGCCAGTACAATGTGCCTCGTGTAGTCCGTAATGAGTTATAAATATATTGGAATTAGTTTGTATTATTAGCTTATTGCTACTGGCGAGGGTACCTTACCATCTGATACGTTCTGTTTGAGCTCATATTTTGCTCGTAGTATAGATCAAAATCCTAGAAGAATTCTTCCAATGAAACTCTTGTTCTCGAATTATGATCATTTTAATGAATTTTCAGTCTATTACAGGGTATCACAAGCCAAACCAAATTGTGAGGAATTTCAATCTGAAATTTCACCCAAAAATAGACCTCATAACTATTATAATATTCTGCAAATTACAGCCAAAATGGATGTTTTCATCTCAAGATATTGAATTCTAAACAAAACAGATTTTCTCGAATCTTTTATTAGAAACGACCTTTTTTTATACACTTGTTATCTCAGTAATAGAGCACCCATTTTGGTTGAAGTTTTCAGAATCTTATAAGACCCATAAAATCTACTTTTGAGCGAAATTTCAGATTGAGATTCCGTGATTTGGTTTTGCTCGTAATATCCTACAATCAACTGAAAATTCAGTAGAATGATCATAACTCGAGAATAAAGACTTAATGGAAAGAATCATTTGAGAGTTTTTATCTACACTATGAGTCCTATCTATGAACAAAATATGAGCTCAAATGAAATGTATCTGTTAGCGAGATTCCCTCCTGAGATAATACATTTTTACAGGATTTTTTTTTAAAGAGTACAATCACTTTGATTCCATTCAGAAACTGTAAAAGAACTAATTTTCGAAATTTTTTATAGAGACAAGTCTTAACCGGAATAGTATATTGTGAAAGTTTCAGATCTTTTGATTTGATCCTATCTTCAAAGAAGAATATCGAATCTGCTCTAGTGCATATGAGCGGTGTAAAGGATACGCTTTTACCATAGCCGTATCTCAAAATAGAAACAACGAAAAAATCTGAAACTGGTAATAACCTATTGTCGTTAAGATCCATCTCGATGCAAACCTTCCAGTTGAAATTCGAAAACCAGTTTCACTTTTATTCCTCAGAGGGTCCACGACATAGACTATAAAAAACTATCGTAAAAATGCAGTATCTTCATTGCAATAGACTTAAAGTTCAAACTCTTTTCAGAGTACTTCTAGTTCATTAGGATCTACATAAGGAACATAGTCTCGATTAATCAGCTGAGAGATTTTCGTCATTAGTTTAACAAACATCGAATCATAGCTGTAATCGATAGTTCGAATAAAATTTAGCAATTCATAGTTTGATTTAATAAAATGTTTCATTTATTCTTTTCATATAGAAAATTGAAGAGAAAGAAGATCATTTTCAAAAATGTCTTAATCTTCAATATGATGAAACCTATGTCCATTCTGACAATTCAAATATGGCAAATAATTCAGAAAATAAATGTCAAATAACAAGTGATAGTCATAAACAAGTTATTATTCAACTAATATTAAATTAATTTATTAATTCATTTTATTCTATATTTCTTCTCTTTTTTTTTAAGAATATTGAACAATCTTTACTCACATTGTATTCAAAAAAATTTACTCAACAAGAAGAATTAGAATGTGAAAGTTTAAATGAAGTTCGCATTTTTTTAAGTTTAAATATCAAAATAAAAAGTTTTCATATCGAATTTATTACTTCTTTTAGTATTATGATAAAATAGAAAAATATATAAGAAATGATTATAGAAGGCAAATCAATCAAATTGATAATATTCTTCAAGAGTAAGTCAATGTCAAAGCATTATTAATATTATAAATCATTTTGATTGTTAGAGAAAAATCTCGTGTGAATGAATATGTTCAATCTCAAATAAAACGAGAAACAAATGATATTGAAAAAACTGAAAAAGATCGGTAAGTTGAAGAAAATTATATTCAAATAATCAGATTGTTTATTCCTTTTTTAATTTTAATTTTATTTTTTATAGGAATCAGATTACTATGTTAAAACAAAAAAGTTCTCAATCGAATTCAAAAGCTGGTACATTAACTAGTCGAACGGTAAATCTCATTGTTGTTTTGTTCTTACAATATAGTTGTTCCCAAAATGATTCTATTATTTAAATTGATTGTCAATTTTCTACTGTTTGTAATAGATGCTAATAAAAATCTAAAGTAGTGATTTGAATAGAGAATTTGATTTCTAGCAAAAATTTTTACAAGAAGAAAACTGTTGTTAGTTTCTTCTATATAGAACCTCTCGAAAACCCTGAACAAGATTTATCAGTTGCTAGAATTCAGTTAAATTTCTAAAACTGATACAGCAAACAATTCTTCATAATATGAAATGTCTCCCGATTCGCTACGACATTTTTTTTAACTGAACTGCATCAAACTTACGCAAGGTACAAAAGTCGTTTTTGCTGATATTTCATGTGGAAAAAACATTTATGTGCATTCCATAAGGTTTGATGTATCTCTATTAATAAACGTTGTAGAGAGCCAGAAGATGTCTCATATTGTAAAGAATTGTTTTCGATGAGTCAAACAGAATTCTATTTATGAAATTCGAAGAGTTAAAAAATCTTGGTTTTTGGTTTTCCAGAGACTCTTATTCTTAAGAAACTAACAATCATTTTCATCTTTGAAAACTCTTGTTGGAAATGATATTTTCTACGTAAGTCAATATTTTGTTTTTTATTACTGTTTACGACAGCGGATGAAAAAATCGCATCGAACAAATTTGGAAGCCACTATAAATAAATTTATTTTGTAAAAATTAGTCTAAAAGCAATGTTGAAGTATATAGGATAGGAATTCGTCTCTCTCTAGACCATGACACATACGATCAACAGATCGTCATAGATCGGGACTGTAAGAATGGGCGATTCCGATAGCAAAAAAACCTGGAGTCTTCCGATTCCAAGTCACAAGAATATTGGAGTTGGAAGTATTTTCATGAAAAACAATAAAACATTTCTTTATCTTCTTACAAAAGGTTAAACTAGTCGTTCAGAAATCTATTTAAACAATATTTAAAAAAAGTACATTTCAATCACAGGATATATGTATATTAATTTACAATCGCTTTTGTAATCACACTTGCAAAAGTTACAAAAATTTAGTTCATCATTTTCTTGTTCTTCAACAATATTATTTTCCTCAAGGTCCAACAAATCCTTGTGATTTCTACTCATTCCTGAACAACGATATTGTTGTAGTTGTATTCGTAATTTCGGACGAGTGATTCCAATCCTAAAAAAGTCGGTGTTGTCCATATTTACTTGACAGGCACACTACAAACAACTGATCACAGACCTGACAGATGCCTTAAAACCAACCCTCTCTTCATCACAGACACCTTAGTAACACTCTCCCACCCTCGCGTCACAAATTGTGATGGACGTTGTTGATATACGAACAAAGACCGTATATCAATAACATCTCGTTCTAATATATGAACTACTTCATTATTGCATTGCTCAAGGATTAAGTAAAAGTATGGTGAAGAAATATGTCCAAAAATAGATGGAATAAAATAATGTTCCTATGATTATCAACAGAGATGTCTATGGAGACGCCACCACCACGGCGGCAACGGCAAATTTTTTCAAAAACCATAGTGGCGTGGGAGAGATTTTTATAATGTCGTCGCATCGGCGGCAGCTTTTTAGGCAGAAATTTCAAAAAATACATGAATTTCCATAGAATCTAGGTGTTCATATATGTGATACTTTAAGACTTAGCAAATCTGATCAAGTAGCAGTAGCAGTTCTAGTTCAAACCAGTCACGGCCTTAAAAATCGAAACATTGTTTTGAATACCATTGCGGGAATAGTAACTTTTTTTACAGTTCATCGCATTGCGGCAGCAGCAGTTTCTCAGCTGCGATGGACACGTATGATTAGTAACATCATGTTCTATATTTTAATCCTGTAGGGATCGTACTAACAGCTTTCTTTTTTTTTATTCAGCTTGAAGAAATGCATGAAGACGTAAAAGAACAACTTCAAATAAATTTACAAACAAATCTTGATGAACTTGAAAAACAAAAAGCCAAGGTGAATATAATATAAATAGATATTGTTTTTCTTTTTTGTTTATTAAAATTAAGAAAAATTCATTTTCTAGGAAATACAAAAATGTCTTGAAAAATATTTCAATCAATTGGATGAAATCAAATCTCATTTAGAACAGTTGGTAAATAATAATGAAGATAATTTACGATATGATAATTCACCATCACCATCATCATCATCATCATCATCACATGCTTCTAAAATGAGAATCAATGCCTCATTAGCAGCTATTTCTCCATATACAGTAAAAACTAGCAGAATAAATTCAGAACCAATATGATGGACAATATAGCAACAATGCGAAGAATTTAATTTTTTTTCCTCAATATATTTACTCACAGAGTTTTCTTTTTTTAAAAATTCAATCATACGTTTTATACTTAATTCTTTTGTTTGCCCGGTCTGTAAAAAGTAATCAATTCTTTCATTTTTTTTTTTCATTCCAATTAAACTATATATGTATCTGTCAATGTGTAATAATGAAATTATATTTTTCAAGATTTTTCATTTAATTATTTTACTTCAACGGATATACAGTTGTTTGATTTTTTTTGCTCTATGTGCAACGAATATTAATGTTTACATTTGTCGTCAAAATATTTAAAAAATAATAAGTGTCAATCATTATCTAATTGCTGTTCGAAATAATAGAAAGATTAATTTGAATCGAGTATTCATTTGTGTTTTTTTTTTACTTTGACGAAACATCCTATGTGAAGACAGTCAAATGATTTTCTAACATTTAGAACAAGACGTCTATAATAATCTAGCTAATGAAATTAATAACTGTCTAAATCACTGGCAAACATACAGCTTGGCCCATAAATAACTAGATGATAAAAAAATCCAATGTCTTCAGTCTACTTTCGTCAATTGAACTGACTTTTTTTGCTCGGTGATAGAGAATTCATAAAAGTTTTTATTCATAAGAAAGTTGCCAAATACGTACTGTTGCAGAACAAGCACTATTGACCAAAAGTATCTTACACCCTGCGATCTCAATCATTCTTAGAGCTAGACATGTGAAATATTTAGCTTATATACTGCCTGAGAAATATAGGTTAGTGAAATTAGTCTGGCTTTGTTCGCTTGTGTTGAAGAAGAGTTATAATCTACAGCAATTCTACTCACTGTGAGTTCTATTGATTTCAGATAGGAAGAAACTTATGACTCGGCGAACCTATTATGATGTAGTCCTTTCATATTGCTAGTCATAATGTAAATTTTATTGAATTCCAGCCTTGCATTTAAAAGTTGCAGATATTTTACATAATGATAGATCGGTCAGATCGTAAACTTCTTTCTTTTATAGAACTCACCGTAAGTAGAGCTATCATACATCATAACTCTTTTTCAAGTCAAGCGATCAAAACTGAGATATGGAGCCTGTCAAATTGGCCCGAGTCCGAAATTTTTGGATCTGACAGGTTCTATCGAGTTGATCTACATTTCTGAGGTAGTATATATGCTAAAAATTTCAGATGTGTAACCTTAAGAACAGCTGAGATCACAGGTAGGATACTTTCGTTTAGTAATTTATTGCTTTATTGAGATCAATAGTGCAAGTTTAAAACAGTATTCGTAGATGATTTCCTTAGGAACGAAAACTTTGAAGAATCTTCTATCATCGAGAAAAAAATCAGTCTGATCGCTTAACAATAGACAATTCCTTTTTGTTTATACACTTATGATATCTTTTATTACAGAATTATAAAACATTATTCCAATTTCAACTAAGTTCTTTTCACATTAAAATGAATTTCCTAACTCAACCCATCTTCAAAGGTATACACTTCAGTTCTATATACTATTTATATTAAAATTAAATTTCTAGACTTATTTCTCAAAGCATTGCATTAAATTATCATGAAAATTTTCTCATAGTCATTTCATTTGAAATTTCCTAGCAATAGGAATTTAGTATGTCATGATCTTCCCTTAAAAAATTGAAAGTAATACAGAAATCGAATAAAAGAAGTCATCTTTTTAGTCGACTTTTTGATAAATTTCGGTTTTCGTGACACTTTTAACTTTTTAAAGGAAGTCTGTAAAAACTGTGGCGATCCCTCATATTATGTTTTTCAAAACGGCATTGCTAAAAAGTAACTTCTGGAATCTGAAAACTACTATGTCCGGCTTTTTAGAAATCTTGCCATCATAGTTCATCTATAAAATTTTGATATACAATGCGCTAGATAGAAAATTTCATCGACTATTAAAATCGCTGATCTGAATTTGAACTAGGTTACAGAAAAAAAATATAATAAAAAATACATTGTTGTTAAACTTTTTTCCACAACCTTATCCATGTGAAAATTTTTGTTTTTGTAAAGTATTTCTAAGCGACTTAGAAAAGCTTACACCTCAGTAAGTTGCTGTAAGATGCTTAAGTTTCCTCGTTGAAACTTGCTGAAAGCCGCTTAATAGAGCTTAGAAAATGGTTTTACAAGTGCTGTGAAGCGTTTATCATCAATATTGCTTAAAAGTGTTGTGACTTTTGTTATTTCTAAGCAATGTACAGCACTTACACTAAAAATCGCAGAAAAGTGCTATGATTGTACTCATATTTAAGCGTCACAACTAGGGACCTGTTAAACTACTTTTTTCGGTTCCAGTTAGAATTTTGTATTGTTTCTGGTCCCGATTTTATTACTAAAAGCAAGCAATTTTTAATACTCTGTATAATTCTTCCAATGCATATAAAATTTTCATTCAGAATTAAATGTGGACAAAGCTCGAAATCTTCTGAGGGTTATGCTATGATACTGTACATACAGACACATTATGATAACAGTTGTAGCTGATCATCTATGAATGTTCATTCGTTAAAATCCAGCGCTTAGAAGCGTTTAAATATGCAAGTGTAAGCGCTTTTCAGCGAGCTTTTTTGCTTAAATTTTTACATGAGTAGAATATATTTCAAATTGATATTTCGATGAGTAACAAAAGAAAATCGAAAAACAAAAGTTTCAGCAAAAAATTAATAGATGACTGATTGTTTTTTTTTTTGTTAAATCCAATCTTGACCAGAATAATAATCAATATTTTTTTCTTCTTCTTGTCGTTTTGATGCTATAACTTGTTGATAAACGTGTAATTCATGTCGAAGTCTTTTTAATTGATCAACTTCAACTTCTTGTTTTGATTGATTAGTTTTTTCTAATATAATTTTTTGTTTAAGTAAATTAAAATTTCTTTTATATTCTTCAAGATGAGCATTTAGTTTTGTTAAATGTTGTTTTAATTTTGCATTTTCTTTTTGATATTGATGATTAAGTGAAATAGTTGAACGTAAGTCTTCAGTTAATTTTCGATTTTTCTGATAAGTACCGAATAAATATTGATGTTCATTATGAAGAAGATCTTTATAACGAATACATTGTTGACATAATGTTTGTCGTTGAAGAATTCGGTTTTGTTGAAAATTATTTTTTTTATCTGTAAGTAAATATTCAGATTTTGATGGTTGTAGAACTTCATCTGTTGTAAATGTAAGACTACGTTTACGATAGAATTTTTGTGGAGATGATGAAATAAATATTTCTATTTACAATGAAAGTGATATATAAATAAAAAAAGAATTAATCTTACCATTATCGTCATCAGTATTGTCTGATGTAGTTAATTCATTTGATGAACGACTTAATGGAGTTGGTTGATGATATTTTAGTTTATTTTTAACATGATCCGAAAGTTGAATAGTTTGTTTATGATGTTGCATTTCATTTCAATTAGAAAGAATTTGATTATACTTGCCTCTTATTTTAAGTTAGTCAAAAGAAGAGAAAAAGGCAATGAATATTTTCTGGTGCTTTGTTGCTCCTTTGAAATGAAAGAAATATTTAATTTTTTTTTTTTGCTGTTGTCTTTTTCTTCTTTTCTTTTTCCTGTATTTTCTTAGTTACTTTTCTATCATCACATTTTACAGATGACATACATATGAAATAAGAGAACTTGTCATCTGTTTATTCATAATATTTTATTGCTCTTTTATTTTATAATTATACTAGTCGTCATATGAAATTGAATAGGTAATTAAACAACAAAAAAAAAACTAGAATAAATATTTAGAAATAATTTCATGACGTTTACGAAGAATCACATTATCATAGGTTTACTTAAAATGTAAGTCAATAGATATTTTTTTGACTATTTTGTTTTTAACTGAACTGAATTTATTATTTTATTTAACATCAACTAATTATTCACATGAACATTTATGAAAATGTAAGTGTATGCTAAGACATTCGTTTTTTTTTCTTATTTAAATAAAAAAAATTTTTTTTTTTTTTTGAAATATAACAACAAAAGAATATCAATTCATTTTTATCATAACCTTTCAATTTAATTAATTAGTTTGCTTTGTATTTACGTTCAAATGAATATCATGCTTCACAATGTAAGATTTCGGTTAACATTTAAGAATATGCATCAAATTATGGTATCTAAAAGAAGTTTTGTCCTTTATAAATAAATAGTGACAGGAAACGTTCGAGCACATAAAACATTATTTAAATTAACAGTTATAAATATATCATTTTATGACAAGAAAACTTTGAATGTTGAATTCTTTCACACTCAATATTTGTTCACATAAATTAAATACTATCATTTGATTAGAATTGTTCCAATAAAATTATATGCTCTCTGGTTAATGATAGAGTACTACAACCAACGAATCGGGTACTCATGTCCAGGTACGGATGTGACAAGTAACGATTTGTGGAAACACAAACTTCATTTTTAACAATGCGATACAAAAAAACAATGAAAATATGCGTTGTTAATACTGTTGTTTAATAACAATATCCTCGATCACATAGTTAATTGGTCGGTTTTTTTACAACTATCAGCGGTCTGTTAGAGTAATGCAACCCACAGGTCGGGTATTCGTACCCGTACTCAGGTACAGGTATGAAAAGTTGCACCCGTGCAGTATTCTATCTAATGATTCCGTACGTTTTTAGTCAGAACCGAACATAAAAGACATTGTTTCCAATTGAAAAAATTTGGAAGTAGGAATACGATGATCGTATCTGGTACCAGTATTGCCCAATTGCGGGTGTTTTCTGTCGGAACTGGAAAGTTTTGGTTAACGAATAAATGCATTCAATGATGACTTCCAAGTTCCTATAATTTTTTGCTGTGTTCCGGTTGTACGTCTTTGATCTAGATGACAATTCTTATCTTCAGCTAAGGGCATACCAATACTTATATATGTCTGAATGTCTTTACGACACGATGTCACTATCGCCTAGCGACATCTAGTAGACACATGTTAATATTTATAATTCAAAATTGTATGATAAAATTCAAAATTATAATTTAAATAAATTTAATATCGTTAGAAAAAAAAAATTTTTCGTTTCCAAGGTTAAAGATTGGTTTATTCCTATTGATAAATCGAGTCATGTCTTAATAAACATATATCGATACAAATAATACATTGAGATAAAAATTTTCGAACGAAAGGAAAAAATAATTCATCTTGATCTTTGATTAATTCTAAGTTTCATCATTTTAGGTATTATATTCATATTTTTTTAACATTTTCCTGTGTGTCTCATCAAAAAAAGAATGGCTACTTCAAATTCTGATAAACAAGTACTCACTTTAAGTGAAGTTAAACAATTAGCTGAGGATAAAAATAGATGTATACTGGTGATCAATAATCGAGTATATGATGTAACAAAATTTCTTGATGAGGTTTATTATTAAAATATATTTTTAAGAATTTTTAATATAAAAATTTTATTTTTCAAGCATCCAGGTGGTGAAGAAATTTTGAAAGAACAACATGGTAGAGATGCCTCACATGAATTTGAAGATGTTCATCATAGTCCTGATGCACGCGAACTAATGAAAACATATGAAATAGCTGAACTTCATCAAGTAAATTAATTTATTATATGTTTATTGAAATATTTCATTTTAATATCTTTTTTAGGATGATGTCAAGCCAATAATTCCAGTAAAAATTGATTAAATAATTTGAAAAATTTAATAATATATTTTATTTAGCCTCGTCCTTTAATTGAAAATTACAATCGAAATACTGGTGGCGCTTCTAATAATGTTGCTACATCATGGATGAAATCTCTTATTCCTATTGTGGTAGTGTTGGTAGCCATTTTTTATTTCAGATTAACCGGAAAAGCAAATCCAAACGTCGACTAATCATAAAAAGTTATTTTTATTTTAATTGTTTTTTTCTTTTGTTTTCATCGTAATTTTATTCAAATTTTTCCTTGGTAATTTTCTTTACAAAAAGAAAGAAAGAGAGAAATAACATGGCTATATTAGAAAGCAATATTTTTTTGAAACGAGTTCGCTTTTATTTTATAGATTATTTTCTCGAGTTTTTCTTTTTTGGTTTTTCTTTCTCTTCATTCATCTTATTTTATAATATGATGGCAGAAGATCAATTAACACATATTGATACAATGACAAATGTTGAATTACGTGCTGAACTTAAACGACGTGGTTGTTCGACATCAGGAAATAAAAAAGATCTTATAACTAAATTACATGCTGCTTTAAAAAAAGAACCTGAACAATCATTATTACGTGATTCAGTTGAACATCCACAAAATGAAACACCAGTCATACATACAACTTTACCGATTGATGATCAAGTAGAAGAATCAGTTTATAAGAAACGATGAAATTTTAATAGTGCTTTTCCCTTTAGGCTACTGCTCAACATCCATCTGTATACACTTTATCAATACCACAAGATGATTTTCCATCTTCTGCACCAATAATACCTACTCTTCAACAATTACCTATAACATCATCTGTAGAAGATGAACAATATTCAACAATAAATGTTTCTAAAGTAGATGATATTGCTATTGTTTCTTCAACATTCGAGAAAAAAACACGAGCACGTAGCAAAAAATCTTCCATCGATAGTTCATCGAATGAAAATTCAAATACAACATCGAATCAACAAGTTATAAACAATGAACAAAATGTTTTGGATGTTTCAAGCAATGACAACAATGTAGAGATGAAACCGTTTGTGAGTAAGAGTATTGAGGAGGAGCAGAAAGATATAGAAAAAATAGGAGCAGAGTTATATCCATCATCTGTTGGCAATAATAGTGCCAAGTTAGAGTCTATTATTAAAGAAATCCCGTCGTCCGACGAACAACAACATTCAAATCAATCGAAATCAGAACAACAGGATAATCAATCAGCAACGATTGATGAAGAAAAAAATTCGGCAACAAATGTTGTAAATGATGACACTAAGTAAAATTTTATCAAATAAATTTTTCAATAAATTAATTTATATTTTAAGAAATCAAATCGAGGTGATTGATCAGTCATCAGATATTAATTTATCTGCCGATTTAAAAGCAGCTACAACAGAACATCAAGAGACTACAAAGGGTAAATACTTTATTATTTATCAGTATTATAGTCAATCTTACGCAGATCGACATCATTGAATTGAATCTATCGAACTGTTTAACTTTAACTAGTGGTTAAGTTACCGATTTTGAATGTTTCAGAGAAAGAAGCATTAAAATGTTTATTCGATTTTTAATCACCTAAACGCAAATAGTGAAAATCAAAAGTAGTTAACTAAAAATAAGAATTTTGTGTCCTTTTCGAATATGTGATCTGACTATTTCTCTGACTTAGGAATGAATAAAATGTTTGACAGAGTCGAAGGTGATCTTTGTTCATGTTTCAGTCGTTAAAAGCATCTGATAAGAACCAAAAGTAGTTCATTAGCAGCAGTCTTATCTATTGTTCTGTCGTATGTGCAGAATATCTCTTTGATTTAAGGTTGATAAGCTGTAGATTAATATTGAAAAGGGATGAAAAATAACATTTCGAAGAAATGACATTTTTTTGCTGTTATTCATAGTTTGTGTAAATTGTATTTTAAAGCACTTATTAATCCAGAGATAGAACCAGTATCGACTACCAATACAGATTTTAGAATGGCCAATCTGCCGGTGGATCGGTTGTTACTGGTGTGTCTTATTAATTTTTTCGCTCCTAGTATCTCATAGAAGACGTGTAATGAAACATTGTTGAAAGTTGACTATGTCAAATATCACTATCCACAGATGGAATAGCTTGACAACTTATCAGTTCAATGTCGGTATGAATTTCAGACCGATTGGTCTGGTGCACTCTGGCCTACTCATACCAGTTCTATCTCTGTCTAAGTCGGTAATTTGTAGAACATTTAATTGTTTCTAAAACCATTTATTATAAAAGACTTGAATTCGAACGAGTAAAAGATTATTGACACTTTTCTGAGAGCTGCTTGGACAAAAATACATCAAATAAAACCCTGTACAAACATTGAATTCATTCCTAATCAATTCTAACTCAGAGAAATATTCTGATCATATATTCGAAAAGAACACAAAATTTTGATTTTACTTAACTATTTTTGATTCTGATTAATTACGTTTAGGTGACTGAAAAATAAATAAATATTTTATGTGAAGACTTTTGTTACATGAGTTATGATAATTATTAGTTGTAATTCATGATAGAACTGACTCTATTTTAATGATATATTTTCTATTGAAGAAGATGAATCATCATCAATGAATAAACCAGTTGAAAAAGCTGCTTCTCAACAACTTAAAACAAATCAATCTCAAACATCATCATTAATGAAAGGTCTTCATCGATCAACAAATAATAAAATCAATTTATCATCTGGAATTCTTAAAGTAAAAATCATATTTTATTTAACGAAGGAACATTTTCATCTGATACCTACTATTTTCGTACATAATTTAGACTCATAGTTTAGATGAAAATCCTAAAAGGGTACATTCACTTAGATCTTTCTAAAACTTCTCTTAATAACAAATATCATAGTACTTATATCGTAAAAGTTTCAGCTCAAACGGATACTTCTCTTTCGAGATAACACATTTGCAAACAAACGTTGCTCTCTTTCAAAAGTTTTCAACATAGCCCATTGTTTCAGACATCTCATATCTTAAAAAAAAACACATTCATTTGAACTAAAGCTTTTAGAATATAATAAATATCATGAGATCTGTTATTGAAAAAAATTTCGGACGTGAAAGTTTTTATTAGAGTATTTTTCGTCCTATCCTACAATTTACTGAGAATTTATAAAAGGAATCATAACTCAATAAGAAAGATATAACAAGGAATTCATTCCAAGTGATAAATTATTTTTGAGTTTGGACGTTGTGCATAAAGCAGACAAACAGTGAGGTATAAAAAAACTTCAAAAAGGATAAGCACTCTTAGACGTTCTATCCAGAGTTATAGCCATTTTATCAGAATCTTAGCCTAGAGAGCAATATACATCAACAAATCGAGTAGTAGTATTTGGACTTGAAATTTTCAGTTCAAAAGAAAGTTTCTTGCACGAGATATTGAGTTTCTAAAAGTCACTCATATCTCATGAATGATGCGAGAATCTCATGCTTTTTGGAAATTCAGTATCTCGTGAAGGAAACATTCTTTTGAACTGAAAATTTCAAGTCGAAATCTCATCATTCGATTTGTTGGTATAAACCACTCTGTAGGCTAAGATATAGTTTTAAATAAAAGGCTTATAGGAGCTTGTCTTTTTGAAGTTTTTTATACCTCATTGGTGTCTATCTTATATACAAAGTCCGAATTCAAAAGCGATTTATCACTTGAAATGATCTCCTCGTAAATGGACGCAAACCTTTTTACGATTTTCATCTAAACGATGAGTTTTACTTATATACGAAAACAGCGAATACCAATTGGAAATGATGCTTCATAAGAGAAAGAAAAACGCTAGGTTTATTTTTGTTTGATTAGACACTTATTCCTGATATAAGTTTATTACGTGAATCTGTTATTAATGATCAACTTGATGCATTAATAAATGATCAGAGTAATGATAATCCTGAACAATCAACAAATGAACTAGTACTTGAAACAAATATTACTAATGAGTTTCTTCCTTGTGATTCAATGACTATTGGAGATTTAGCCGATCAAAAACAACAAACAAATCGAACTGTTGTGATGAATATTGTTGTAAGTATTATTTCATAATCATATTTAAATTTAATTAAAAATAAAAATTTTCTTTATAGTTTAATTCATCATCATTAAACGATGATATTAATGTAAGAAAAAAACAAAATTTAACATCAACACATGTTTCTTCATTTGAATCAAAAACATCAATTGATGGAAAAACTAATAGTAAATTAATAAATTTTTGTTATTAATAAAAAAATAAAAAAATTGATTTCATATTCAGCTATTATCACAGATGAACCAATTCGAATAAGAAATATCACTGCCATAAATGAACCATTAAGTCAAATTTTATATATTAGTGGTCTTACACGTCCATTTAGTCTTTTACAATTAAAAGAACTTCTTCATCGTTATGGAACATTAGTAGATGGTCAATTTTGGCTTAACAAAATAAAAAGTCAATGTTTAGTTGCTGTAAATATATTTTCTTCATATTCAAATTATCTATATTTGTTTTCTTTTTATTTAGTATAATACAATAGAAGAAGCACAAAATGCTCGTGAAGCGCTCGATGGTTGTCGATGGCCATCAACTAATCCAAAAATATTATCTGTTCGATTTGCTCAACAAAATGAAGTACATTTTTTTTGTTTCTGTCTTTCAATTTTTCATTTTGTGTGTTGGTTTTTTTTTCAGCTTGAATTTAGTAAAACTCATGATTTACCACCAGATCAAATGTCTATGGGTAAAAAAAAAAAATCAAAACTGTTTATCCTATTACATATCATTCTCGTTCTGTTATTTTTTTTTCTAGATGCAATCGAACGTATTATACAAGACAAATCAAATATAATACCTTCACGTCGATCTCCTAGTCCAATTGATGGAATAAAATTGAATACGAAGAAAAATCACTTAGGTGTACGAGAATGGAATATGTCAAAATTACAAGAAGAAAAATGCAGTGGATTTATGATACCTGAAGAAAAACATGAAGAAGAATCAAGTTTGTAATCTTTACAAACACTGAGATATCCAAAAACAAAAATATGTTGTTTTTTTTGTTTAGTCAAATCAAATGAATCACCAATGAAAGGACTTGATGAATATTTTCGTAAAACAAAATCAAAACCATCAATTTATTGGTTACCATTAACAGAAGAACAGGTATAAATTGTAAATTTCAATAATATTAGATTGATATATCTTTTTTTTTCGGGAGAATATTTAGATTATTGAACGAAATCATCGACAAGAACAACGTAATGCTGAACGTGGTGAAGCACGAAAAAAACAAGAACTTGATGAAAATATTCAAATATCTGATTCAGTATGAATATAAATAATTGATTTAATTTTGGAATTATATTTTATTCTTATAGAAATCTCATCGTCGATTATCACCATCACAAGAAAAACGAAAACGTAGTCCATCATCATTGAAACGAAATTCTAAACGACATTAAATCAAGCATGTAAATAGTCTTGCATGTATTTCCTCATGAATCAAGTATTGAATTTCATTGAAACAAAACAAAAAAAAAGACAATATTTTTTTCTACAAGGGTATATCATTGGTATTTGTATTGTATTTTCCTTATTAAGAAAATAAAAACAAAAATAAACTCTTTTTTTCTTCTTTTTTGGACCGTCATAACTGAATAGTCACGTTATTCGACAGGTATCCACAAAGTACTATGTTCAAGCGTCAGTATTATCAGCTCGGCAATGATCCTGGATCATTGACTAACGGTTGTTTGTTTCGGATCACCCATTCAATAGCATACTGACTATACTATAATATATAACTGCTCTTGTGACTAGTCTGTGCTTAGTTAGTGTGTATGGGGAGCGGCACAAGAACTCTGCGTCTGATTGACCTTCTATGCAGAGCTCTATAGCTAGGCAAAGTTGTAGGGAAGATATCGAGCTATTGAATCTGCGGGTAGACAGCACCTTCATACAACAAGATAGCTGAAATGCAGGGGTACTCTTCCTTTCTCTTTTGTTTATTTAATAATTCTAGTACATCGACAGTTGAGCTCCTGTCACTTGAGCTTGACATTAAGGAACCAATGAAAGAAATATAAGAAAATAGTTTTATCTGAATAAATAATTACACAGTGACATTAAAAATTGAATAGAATTCTGGCTCGTTTAAAGTATAAATCTCTCATTATCAAATTAAAAGTCGAAATTATTTATTGTTAAGAAGTTTATATTTAACACGTTTGTTGAGTTTTACAAGTCCGATTTATCATCGTTTAGCCATTATCAAGTTCGCATGTTGTTCTATTGTCAAATCTTTGATAGATTCATAAATTGATGGATTTTCTCGTACTGAATGTTAAACAGACATTGATGAGCTATTATATCAAGGAAAATATATTAGAAATTAACAGTACTTTAATAGCTCGGCGTCAACCCTCAGAAGGATGCAAGTGTAAATAAAGAGAACCACGGTCAAACAATCAGATGGTCAAATCTTACCATTGGTTTTGTAAGATCAGACAAAAATCGTACTCTCAGAAATCTTATAATAAATTGTATAAGATTCTTGAAAGATCTTACAATCACATAAGATCTTGTATAATCTTGTAGTATTATCGTACAAGATCACAGGTACGATCTTGTAAGATTTTTACTGTCAGATTGTTTGACTTGAAATGTTTTAAATATGAACTTCTTGGCGACAACCAATTTCAACTTTTAGTTTGATAACAAAAGACTTGTACTTTAAACGAGAAAGAGTTCAATTGAATTTTTGACATCAATATGAACTTATTCAAATAAAGCAATTTTCTTATATATCTTTTATTTGTTCCTTATGTCAGACTCGAGTGTCAGGCGTTTCATCTATCATGTTACTAATAATTCTCTATCTTTAAAATTAATTTGAAGATATCGAGAAAATGCATCGTACACATGCTGATCTTATTCAATCACTTGTTCGACGAAATATTATTAAAGATGAACGAATTAAAACAGCTATGTTAGCAACAGATAGATTAGACTTTTCCACCGATCGATTATATGAAGATGCACCACAGCCAAGTAATATTGTATTGGTTATGTGTTAAAAAAAAATAATAATTGTCTTCATATTTTTCAGTTGGTTACAATGTAACCATATCAGCACCACATATGCATGCTTACGCACTTGAAATGTTACGAGATAAACTTATTCCTGGTGCACGTGTACTTGATGTTGGATCAGGTTCGGGATATTTAACAACTTGTATAGCTCGTCTTATTCAGCCAGGTGGAAAAGTAATTGGTATTGAACATATACCAGAATTAGTTGAGTCATCAATAAAGAATATTTCCAAAAATGCACGTTCATTACTTGATGATGGAACATTAGAAATTGCTACAGGTGACGGTCGTTTAGGTCATCCACAAGGTGGTCCATATGATGCAATACATGTTGGTGCAGCAGCACCAAATCGACCGAATGCATTAATTGAACAATTAAAACCAGGTGGGCGTTTAGTAGTTCCTGTTGGTGTTGGAAGTCAAAGAATCATGATTTATGATAAATCAGCAGATGGTCATGAAGTTCATGAACATGCAAGTTTAGGTGTTAGTTATGTTCCATTAACAGATAAAGCAAAACAATGGCGACATTGATCTTTTGATATTTATTTTAAATGTTTAACTTTTGTAAAATTATCGATCGTAAACAAGCATGTTATGTGTGAAATTTATTCAAAATATAATAAATAAAACTCTGAAATAAATCAATTAAAATTTTTCTTTTCGATTGATTTATTACTAGAATAAAGAACGAACTGACATCTTTATTTGTTTGTATTTGTATGTGATTTTGACTAGCTAATGTCATTATTCGTTTTCCAGATGTAACAGTCATTAATACAGCTGTCAAAAAAGAGTTTTTTTCTTTTATGACTGACAATACTCAGACAAAAGTGGAACAAGAACGGTCTCCAAATATCGTTAACGATACTGTCGTTAATCATTCATACCAGAAGTGCTAATGAAATGATGCTTTGTTTTCAAGCAATATATATTATCTAGAAATAGGATAGGAATGTAACCAGTATACAAAATTTGAAGATGTACAAATCTTTTCTTTTTTGGGTACTATCGACGATTATGAAAGAAATTTAATATATTATTGTACGTAGAGTAAATATTTGTTACTTGATGTTTTTTTTATAAGAGAGAAAAAAAGATTAAAGTTATGATTTAATTCGATCGAAAAAAAATATTACTCAAATTGATTAATCTTCTTCACAGTGAGATTTATTATTTGATGTCTGTCAACATTTTTTTTTTTTGTTTAGATCAGATGTTTTCCACAGGTGCGGATTCAGTATGAATTATTTGAGAACGAACTCAAGGCTACTTTAAATATTTTATATCAATTTCAAGTAGAAAACGTTTTGAAAACAGTCTTACTGTCAATTAGTTTTATCGGCAAAATTCTATTCTTCTTAAATTACACAACAACTGTGTTTTTGTTTCCAGGAAAGAATCTTTTTTTTTCTTAAAATCATTTACACTAAGCTTAAGTTGACATGAGTTTAAGATAAGTCAATTAGTCTATTCTATACGTATTAAATATGTTGTATGCATACAATTACTCATAGCTATCGTTGATAATTTATACTCTGTGAACTTAAAGAAAAAGATAAGAATACCGTGACACATTACCTGTCAATGCATTTATAGCATATTTTATTTAATCAAAGTTTTCTTTTAAGAAATTTTTTTTAAACTGCTTCTAGTCTTATTGAATTTCTATTTAGTTATGTAAGATGTTTTAGTAAGTCTTAGGATTATTGAAAAAACAACTAGAATTTTTCCGGCATTATTTTTGCCATATAAATACTTATTGCAAAAATAAAAAAGTGTCAATGAAATATTCATAATGAATAAATATATCAAGATAATATTGTAACAAAAACCTCTTGAATTTTAAAATTAAGAAAGAAATTTAATACCTTAAAGAATTGAAAAATTCAACATTGCTAGATTTAGTTTTTTTTAGTATGAATTATAGTCATTCAAAAAAACAAAACCAGTATTTAGACAGCTATGAAATTTTTCTTTTTGTATTTATTAACTTGTATAACAAAAGCAAAACATAACGAAGTAAAAGCTGCTTTGTAGAATGAAATTTTCATATATCACTGTACATTCATCTGATATTCAATGAATGAATATTCATATAGAAAAATCAAATAATGAATGCCCTGCACGAATCATAGACTATAATATAGATACAAAAAGCTATTTAAAAAAAATTTACAAAACTTGTTTAATTCGTATTAACAACCGATATACAAAGGATCCTTCAGTTATATAGTGGTAAGTTAGAACGATAACAAATATCTATCCCAATATGTTTTTGAGTCATCGTATGTTATAAAAAAAAAAGGAAAGAAATAAAACATAAAAATCAAAGTTTCAGGAAGCACAAACGGAGAATTTTTAATTTTCGAAGAATGTCAACATAATGAAGAGGTACTTTTTAGATTACGGAAATTGTTCGATCCATTTCCTTCGGGATCATTAAATTTTTCCAGGAGAGTAAAAACAGTAAATTAACATAAGAAAAATATTTCTTAATTTGGATCTAATTATTACAAGGTTATTCCACGTAGAAAATTCGAATATATTTTCATCTGATAGTCTATCGAGTATGTACCACAACGATGTGCGTATATTTGATTAAGAAAATCTTAAGCAAAAGTTTGAATTTTCTTTTCTTCAACTGGTTTCTAATTGTTATCCATTGAGTGGTAATATCAATTAGCATTCCTTTTTTTGACATGTTGCTGAATCTCAACAATTCTCACTGATGAATAAAAGGGTTGCCTATCAGTGTAATTATTCTTATAATAGAGAGTTCGAAAAGACAATTATATGTATGTATTACACTGAAAACAATTAGGAAAAAGATAAAGAAAACAAGTGATCGCTAGTATATATTTAGTGTTGTCAGTCGATCGACATAACAGCTGCTAACTTTTTTTGGAAACTTTCAGCCGTCATCGCTGATGGCCATAACATTTATAAAATACTTTCGCTATTTTCGTAAGTCATTGCTAAAAATTCCAGCCGTTACCATCATGACATAAAAAAAGAGGCTTGATTTTCAAAAAATTTTCGATATCGAGAATCATTTTTCATAGATTTTCTGTCTTGTTCATTTCGAAATTTCATAGAACTAAGACAATTATTTTAAAAAAAGTATCAAAATATTTCAACTGTCACCGCTGATTAATACATCAGCTTACATCTCTATATATAGTGAACACGGATAAATCTTTTATTGTACAATCGCTAGCTGGTTCATATAAATAATTCGTTCTTCAACTCATTTACTTTTTTCAAGGTATATTTTGAAAAATAAAGTTAAGCCTTTAAAACAATTAGAATTTTAAGAACTTAAAATACAGATATCTCAAAAAACAAACAGTTTAATATGAAACAATATTTATACTTTTTTTTATTCGAGTTTTTATTATTATAATCCTCTGTTTCTGCGAAAGATTTATACTAGAAAAAGACTCATACAAGGACAAAGATTTTTTCTTCGAAAAGACTGAAATTATCTACTTCATTGTTAACTATATATGAACATCTTCTTTTACACATGGAATGTATTTATGGGATAGTTTTGTTTTCTAAATTTGTCTTTCCAATTCTCTGTTTCCTTTGAATGATGATAATACTTTTGTTTTTCAATATGTTTTTCGTAGTTGATTTTGTCACACACACTATTATTATTATTATTAATAATTAATGATAGAAAACATTGAGCAGATTAGACACGAATTGAGTTATTACATTTATACAAAAAGAAAAATTCCTCCGATTCTTTTTTTTATTACATTTTATAAATAAATATTTGAATAAAAACAAAAATTAAATAATTATCTTTGTTTTTATCTGAAATATAATGAACGAACGTCTTGATCATGACTGAGAGTAAAGTTAGAGAAAAATATTATACTTTCATACATATTTTCTTTTTTTTTGTGATTAAATAAGTATAGATAGTTCTTGGAAGTATCAAGTAACTTTGCATAGATAAAATAATCCTCAGTTTCTGTTAAAAGGATCAGAGTGAAGATATATTTGATTACTTCCGATGTTCTCTAATAATCCGTCTTCAGCATTTTCTTCTTATACGGATATCCGAAAACTACAATATGTAATTGCAATATAGATTGCGTACTACTAAATTATGAAATCTAACGTATCTTGTTAAGATATTTATGTAATTGAAAATTTTGTTGACATTAATTATTAAACAAAATTCCTTTTTATCTGCTATGAGATCGAGCTTGATAAGAAAAGTAATAGAAATGTTAATTTTAGTGTTAATGCATGATAATATGATTATTATAATAAACAAGAATAAAATTATATTTAATGTTATTTTTCAAATAATAACTCCTAAATTGTGTTTTTTTAATGAATATCATCAATGACAAAAGCCATGTTGTTTATTTTGTATCGCATGCAAGTTCTAAAGCTAAATTTAATTAGTAATATGTCGCAATATATATTAAATATCAAATGTCTTTCTGTCTCAATGTTTGCTTTTTTCGATTATACATATCAACATACAATCATATGCTTGTTTTGTGTCTCATTAAAATCTCTTATTTCAGTGCATTCTTTTTGCTTTATAGGTCAAGCTATTGCATGAAAGCCTATAAGAGTGCTTATCTATTGAGTTCAAGCATCCTTCCGTTGATGTTTGACCTCCTTCTTTTCGATTGGCTTGATAATCCGTCAGGATAATTTACTTCATAAGAATTCTGATTACATCACTGATATTTCTACTTGACTGAATTGATAATTTTCATAAAAATCACATTTTATTTTTCTTTCTCCGAAGAACATACATACAAAATAAATTTGCAATAATTAATCACATATTTATAGTTGTCTTCAAGAACACTACTATCTCGGTACTAAAGCAATAGATTCTTTTTGTTTAAATAGATTTTTTCTACCATTTAATGTCATATTTGTAGATTTCGAACCATCAAATCTCTTGCTTTTTTCTTGATTACGACTAATTTGCTTTGTTATATTAGTTTGAATTGGAATTGATTTTGATCGTTCTCGAATTATTCTTTGACAACATTGTGGTAAATGCGGAATTAATAATTGAAACCATCCATATAATGTTCGTCTATATGGTGGTGATGTTATTCCTAAAAATAAATTTTGTTATTATATTAGAATAATTTTAAATAGAATAGATTTACCATAAAAAATAAAATTTAATGAATGATTACAATATTGCATGATATAAATAATAGCTTTTAAACGTGGATAAGCAAGTTCTTCGTTTGCATTACGAAATAAAACAGTTGTAACTAATACAACTGGACTGACAAGAATAAAATAAAGTAAATTAAGTGTAAACAGAAGATAAAATAAACTTTTTGCTTTATTCGGTGTTGCTCTCATTAAATTATTCATACCTGAACGACGTGAACGAAATACACGTCGTTGTTGATAATAAACACGATAGACTATGAAAAATGTTCCAATACTCATTATTGTAAATGGAATAAATGCATAAAGACATACATCAACCCATTCCCATATCTAATTAAAATCGCAAATTTAATTTTTTGTTCTTTCTTTTTTTTTAGTTAGAAAAAAAAACTCACATGATCCCAAAAATGTTCATATCTACTATCTTTTAGAGGTGCACATTTTTTGACCGTAATTTTTGTTTTTAATGGAAGTTTATTTGATGTTAAATTTGAAACAAATAACTCTCGTTTATTTCTTAAACATAAAAAATTCCATGAAGGATTATCACAGATTGAATTTGTTGATTGTATATTTCGTATGTAAAATTTATGATTTATATCAACTCCATGTGAAATAGAAGATTCCTGTATTGTTATATTTGAATGATATGGTAATAATGTTGTATGAAAATCACGATGTTCGATTGGATTTACATCTTCTAAATGAAGAAGTACTAATTCATGAAAATTTAATAAAGCAGTCAAAAATAAAATAATTCCAACAATATATTCAGCTGAACGAGGTGTACAAAATTTTCTTGCAAATTGTATACAATTTGTTGCTATAGCTCTATCAACAGATATAAAAGATAAAATCCATGATGATGCATGTTGTGACCAATATGTTATAAATGTATGTAAACGACATGTTATTGGATTTAAATTTCTTAATGAAAATGTTCCACCATATTCAATCATAAGAAATAAATCAAGTAAACCAGAATATAAAACAAGTAAATCCATTAATGAAAGTAATGCAAGATAACGAAATGTTGATGATTTACGTAATGTTTCACTTATAAATACAATAAATGAAACAATATTACCAAATGTACCAACTATAAGAAGAAAAATAGAGCCATATCGAACTACATAGGGATCAAAACCAAATATGGATACAGATGATATTTGTATATTGTTACTCATTTGTCCATCTAAAAAAATTTTTTTTCTACAACAATTATTAGTATGTTTTATTGTTTATTTATTCATGCGAAAATCATCGTCGCTCACATAAATGCCGGATTTGATTATATACGGCAGTTCTAACAAAAGTTCTTCTTTTTTTTTTCCTCTTATTCCATCTTTCTCTATCTGAATCTCTACTTCGCTCTTCTTCCTCTTATAGATTAATGCTCAAAAGACAACACGATTTTTTGATTCTATTATGAATAGATGATAAGAAATGTTTTAGATTTTATTAGTATTACAAATGACTTATGTAGAAAAGAGACGCCTTACCTATTCTATATAATTTTCATTTTAAAATGACACAGAAAAAAAAAGTAAAAGAAGCAATTATTTGTTTCCGATTAAGAGTATTTTAGAGAGAGCTTAGATTTTTCTCTTTCTATCCTAATACTAATTTCTCTATTTCCGTTTGTCTTTTTTTTTTTCTAATTACTTATCCATAGAGAAAGACACAAATAAGAACAAAACAGTTCGTCTTTGTTTTTTGTCACGAAAATATTTTGAGCTAGCAGTCGTCTATTTAAATAAGATTCAAATTCATATATATATTTCCTGGTTGCATGCATACAGCAATAGAAAAATACGGATTATCTACTTATTATAATAACAGAAGTATTTTTTGGTTCATTTAGACTTAAACATTTATTCTGTTATTAACTATTAATTGTTAGACAGTTGTTTTTGTTGACAACAATTGTGGTAGATTCTATCGATTTAGTTTTGTTCGATCCCTTATATATTTTTTCTCCGTTCAGTCATATTATTTCCCTTGTGGCCTTTTTTCCTTTTCATAGCGAATAATTTAAAAAAGTTTATTCATTTATTCATTGATAATAATACATAAGTATTTTTGTGAATATTTTCAGTAGTATTTGTCTATTTAAGAATGATCGAAGAGTTTTAATGAATAACTATCAAATTTACATAAAGATTTATCAAATGAATAATAATACTATTCGATCAATATAATATGACCGATTCTAGTAACATCAAAATTATAATATATTTAGTTCAAGTTGATTAACTAAGAATGAAAGAAAGAGAAGAAAACTGAAGATTCGTATTTCTGTCGGGAAATATTTATGATGGACTATGTTCTATATCAAACGACTAATTTAATAACAATTTTAAAAAATATTCTAACTGTAATATTTCATTTTTATTTTCAATAATCATTATATTCTTACCTATTAAGAAAAAAAATCAGGATGCAACGTTCTAAAGACTTATGTTATTTAAATATGTACGATTCGTGCATATCGTTTTAGTTTTGATCAACTTCTATTCTAAGCATAAACCAATGCTTTATCGTTGTATACTATCGAACAAGACAACAGACGAAGAAAGAATACCAAGAGAGTTTCTTAAAAAACGAGAAGAGAGAAACAGGAAGTTTTCTTCTCCTTCGTCTTCTCATTTTTTTTCTTTTTCTATTAATATGGTTCTTCTTCTTATTCTTATTCTTCTTCTTCTTCTTACCACTGACATCATAGATTTGACAGTACTTATAAACACAAGCAGAAGCAATTACTAATGAAAAAAACATCAGGAATTCTAATATTAGTAGGAGAGTAAGAAAATTAATTAAGGACAAGAAAGAATTTATAATCAGTATGAGTGACAAAAGAAAAACAAAAGTTGTGTACAATGGTATGACATACCAAATAGATCATGTGTACAATGTAACCCTCGATAAAAAAAAATAGTTAAGCTTCCAGAAACAAAAACAGAAATTTCGTGTTCATATTTTCTTCAAATTATTTTATATTAGCAAAGATGTCCACAAAAAAATGATTAATATTCATACCCAAAGAGGTCTTCGCTTTGACTGTTGCTAATTCAATTTATAAGAGAAACCTAAAAGAAATTACACTGTATATCATCATGTTAGTAACTGTCGATAAAGAATAAATGCCAATCGTCCAAATAAATACAACTGGTTATCAATTCATGATAAAATAACATGATAAATCTCTATCAATAAGTACGAACAAGAAGATTACAAGTTAATAGACTGATTCAATATCAAGATTTTTTTCTGTATGATAAGCAGAAACAAAAATATATTGAATTGGTTGACATTAGCAATACAAGGTATACCCTATCTATTTAAAGAAAAAGTCTATTAATGAGTACAGGAAAATAGATGAAGTTGTTTTTTATCTTGTTTTTGCTGCATGCTTATATACATCCGTCGGCTTTTGTCTGCAAACTCTGTTTGCTCTCTATAGGGAATCCGTTTTTCATTATTCTAATTTAGCCAATTCAAAAGGGAAAAGAAAGATTTAAAACCTAAATTCACACATCATGCGCATATTATTGTCTTTTCTTTCTCATGAGATTTACAGATTTCATTGAAATAACTGAACTATTAATATACATAATTATTTCATAAGTAATGGAAATAGAAGGAATACAGTTTTTTTTAAATATGACACTTGCTAATGATTGATATAAAAGTAAGATGCGATTAATAATGAATATTGAAATCATTAGTTTAACCTTCTTTCATAGAATTAAATAATCGATATATATATATATATATATATTACTTTTTTTTTGCATTTAATATTATGTCACAAAAGAGAATAGCGTAAAACAACCAGTAATCATTGACTAAAATAACAAATAAACAATTCATAGATGAATATCATTTAGAATGTAACAGAAATTTGTACATAATAGAAATTGACGAAAAGATTTATTAAGTTATTATCTGTTCAAATACATCTGATAAAACTAAAGAAAATTGTATTATGTAGTTTTATACTTGATAAAGATCACTTGTACGTCAACTCGACTATTAATCAAATGTACATCAAACAGGCCAAGATGAAATAGTTTTCAGTCTTTTTGAACAACATATATCGATTGCTTAGCTCGTTAAATGTGAATGAAATCAATAGAACTTGAATAAAGCCCATTCTCAGCTGATGTATTTTAAAATGTAATGTGTCACAACTGATTCATTCAATGATTTGGATAATACATGCATGTAAATATAGGTGATCAGAATTTCATCAATAAGACTTTCGTCAATAGGATATTCGTTAATTGGGTAAATTCTAGGTAGTGTGCTGGTGAAAATCGAAACTAATATTGTTAGAATGTATATATAGATATCATAGCTTACATTCATCAATGTAGTCGATAGGAGTTTTTTTAATCCATGTCTAATTCATGGCCAAATCGATAAAAATCCAGAGGATGTATTGGTGGAGGTCTTATTGACAAAAATCTTATGGAAGCCATTCTGGAATCCCACAAATATACGTCATGATTCATTGATATAGTTTTTTTCTAGATTATTCCTTAAACAATTAACATTCGATAATATATCAAAAGATTAAAATCTTGTGGAGAAGGAAAGTGAAAGTTTGATCAAATTCTAATTAAAATAAATGCTATAGACCATCGGACTTGTATTTTTAACAAAGGTTGAATTTATTCAAATTTCTGACTTTATATTTTAATATCGTACAACGTACTCATAGATACTATACTATAGAAAAATGAATTTTGGTTTTCATCTCTTTTATTAAGATCAAAAAAACTTAGTCCTCGAAACCTCTTCAGAAGCCATAATGATGTAGAAAACAGTATTAAGGATGTGTTGACTATTAGAACATGATGTCAAATATGACGTTGATTTCTTTATTTAGAAAGTAGTTCCTGTGAATTGTTTTTATCATCTTTTTTATTAGGATTCAAGCAAATTAATCCAACAGACTTCTTTAGAAGAAGTGATTATGTAGAAGAGAATATTACTAGAGATGCACTAATTTCTAGAACATGACATCAAAGATGACATTAGTTTCCTTACTAAGAATGTAGTTCCTGTGGATTGTTTATATTAATCATTATTAGTTTTTTTGCTCTATCCGAAGTGGTAGTCGAAATACATGACATAGAAAACCAAGATTTTGGAATTGGACAAAAACTTACATTCTTTTTAGTTGTTCTGGACCAATTCCAAATGATTTTGAGACTTGTGTTTTATATTAGACAAAACCCAAGAATAGATTCGAAAAGAGGATTCAAAACAGAACACAATTGGCATAAAGAATCTCCAGGAGGCCACTAATTCTCAATACTGGAAATATTCTAAATTCTGATTAGAAATTCAAGAAATTGGTTCATCCGTGCTTACAGAAACACGTACCCAATATTGAAAATTACTGAACTCCTAGTGATTCTTCATGCTAGTTGTGTTTCGTTTTGAACGCTCTTTCCGAATCTGTTCTTAGATTTTGTCTAATCTAAAACACAAGTCTCAAAATCATTTGGAATCAGGCGAAAAAAAACCAAAAAGAAATGTGCATTTTTGATCAATTCCGAAATCTTTTTTTTTTATGTCATGTATTTCGACTACAACTTTGGATAGAAAAAAAACTGATAATGATTAATATAAAAAATACACAGCAACTACGTTCTTAATGAGGAAAATAACGTTATCTTTAACATCAAGTTCTCGGAATTAGTGCATCTCAAGACGATTCTATAATTAAATTAATGTATCTTTGTTTATTTTCGATAAAAACGTATGTCACATATTTTTGTCTGACACCAAAGTGTATTATAATTAAATAAAACTTTAATATTTCTTTACTTCTGATCATTAATAGTTTAATAGTTTGGTTTGACCAAAAGTTCTGGCAACATTGCTAGCAATTCTATAAACCAGTTAATATTTGAGAGTCTGCTGCATGAATAATAGGAATTGCATATCATTCGTCAAATAAGAAAGTTTGTCAACAGATATATTGTCGACAGGCATATTGTAGATAGATCTTTTGTCGACAGATATTTTGTTGAATTTATTTTGTCGACACCTTTTTGTCAAAAGTTTTTTTGTTGACAACCAAGGCCGAGCATGATAACAGTCGTAAAAGATCGTATACAACGTCTTATGCTATCATGTACGGTTGTATACGGTGTAAATTACAATCGTATACCACTACTGTAAACGATTGTATGCGGTCGTATACAATGTCGTTTGTCATCGTGTCCCACAGGAGTTTTTCATACCTTTCCCTCACCCTTAAGTACAATGCATACAAGCTATTTGTATAAAAATATACATTATTTTATTTTTAATGCATTGATATTTATATTTGGAGAAGCTGTTGAGTCAAACCTAAACCAAAAACAAACAATGATTTACATTTTAAATTGACACTTAAATTTCGATAAGTTGTTGAATCGAGTCTAAATAAAAAAAATAGTTTTATTAAACGCTTTGAGTATCAGTTATGAGCATTAATCACAGACTTTGAATTGTTGTTTTTTTGATGCATAACTGAAAAATACGGATTGAAAAATCAAGCTACAACTGGATATTAATCACCTATGCCGAAGCGAAAATAGCTAAATCGACATGGAATTTTCTTAAGAGCTCGAAAAATACTTCTAACACGTCGACTAGGCGGAATTTAAGTGCAATAAAACATTTGAAAAATTCTTATGGGTCGATTTCGAAAAATCAAACATGACATACTCATGCTCATATTACTATTGTTAAAAGAGAAAATGTTAATCAATATTATGCCATTTGAAACATCAACACGTACTCAAAATTCATATAGACATATTCAGCTAGGAAACATTTTCTGTTTGCATATAAACTAATTTTTGTTGAGACCCAGAACTTATGAGACACCTTTTGTATGCAAGTTAATTGAGTGTCTGAGCATATTTACAATTTATTCGTTGGCGTCTTCTTCATCATGACAAATGGTCCAGTTATTTTGAAGTTTAGCATGACGATGAAGGGCAAAAGTATGCTTCTCTACGATGGATACATCTACACATTGAATAAAGATCGTGGTAAAGTGAAATACTAGCAATGTCAGGATCGTTCCCGCTCCACTTTTGCTCATGCTGATGGGAATGGCAACTACAAAGCACATTTGAGCATTCATGATGGTCCTCTATCCTCGCCTGAGGGAGTTGAACTTCTTACATTTAAGAAACCGGTCAAAGAACGGGTGAGCAAGGAGACCACATCAATTACTCACATCTGCGAATAAGAGCTCGTAGCGGCAAAACTTAGTCAAACTGGCTTGGCGCTTGCACCCAACGATAAAGACGCTCGTGAGCATCTACCTCCAGGAACTCGTTATCCACTTTAAATATGGTCGAATCCTTAGAGTCGTCGCTGTCTCGTCTTCGTCGAAAAACAACACTACCTCTCCATGTTTCGAGAGACTTCGATAACCTGATCAACTACAGGCAGACTCTAGACAGCAAAGAATTTCTTTTTAAGGATGCACTCATTCATGGCAAAAAAGTATTAGTATTTGCCAATGTGTGACAATTGGCCATACTGTTCTAATCGACGTACATCTTCACTGATGGCACATTCTCAGTCTGTCCTTCTTTCTTCGCTCAAGTGCTTACTATTCATGGGGTGCATCATGAACATGGTGAGTTCTCTCTGGTCTTGTTAGTCTGTGAATTTAAAATGATGTCTCTTTCAAGTTTTGCCATGTGCGATTGCTTTTCTTCCTGGTCGATCGACTGTCTTCTATAACTATCTGTTCCATCTCCTTGATTTGCAAGTTATAGGTCTTCAAATGACATTCAAGCCGAAATCGATTATCATGTAAGTTCTTTTCCTTCTAGCCTTAACGGCTACTTACGATTTCCTCTGAAATTCTTTTAATTCCCTAAGTCTCCACATATTGAATGCTTCTTTTATTATACTCAAAGTATCCATCGAAAAATTCAGAATCTCGGACTGTCAACTGTTTACAGGAATGATGAAGAAGTCCGCTCTGTGCGTCAACAGTTGATGGCATTTGTTCTTGTGCCTCGGACAAAATGGAGCCTGCTGTTCAATATCTTTCCGATAATCATCTGCAATGGATCAATGATCTGTTCGGTTACTTTGAAGATTTCTTGATAGGAATCGTACCAATAGACTTGCAGAATGTGTTCGATCTCAAAATACGAATAAACAGTAATGCGGAGAGTAAGATTCTTTTTCTTTCTTTCTCACTTACGATATTCGAATATAGTTCATTCAGGATGGCACAATAGATTTGCCCATCACATCGACGAGAAATATCCGAACACATGGCATTTCATCCATGTGCTTCAAGAAGAAGAAGTTCACTTCAATCAATATGTTCAACAGGTGAAAACGGGCAAGAAGAAGCTGCATGGAAAACGAACATGTCATCCAACAGCGTCTCGAAACTCTTGCAAATCGATTCAAGATGAAAGAGATCGACCTTGTCGAATACATCCAGGGCCTGGCGCTTTTGGTCACAAAGAGGAAATGATACGGAATGAAACCAGAACAAATCAATCCTTCTTGATACTGGTCTTTTGTTTCTTCCTTTTCACTATCTATTTTTGTTAGTTAACGTTGTAAATGTGTTCTATATATATGATTAGACTATTTGTTATTTTCTCTTGTAGCTGCTTGGTCGAATAAAAAAAAACGTGGGCTGTGTCTTCTGAACATTGATATTTCACGAATACTTTTCGACAAAATAATTTCGATGAAAAGTTGTCGACGAATGATATTATTATTAATAAATAGTAGTGTCTTGTCTATAATAGTATATATAATATTTCTATTCTGAGTTTAGTTCAAATATTCTTCATATAAAATCCAATTTCACCAAAAAAAGTTCAGGAATCAGTAATAAATTCGATCGATACTTTATTACAACTCGAACTATTTTGGGAATAGATGCAAAGCGGACAAAGCGTTTTTATGAAAGAAGAGAAGATGTTAACGATGATCCTCGATCTAGTAGTCTGACTTCCGACCTGACACAAATGTAAATACTGAACTAATAGGACAAGTTATTAATAATAATCCATATACGACTCCTGATGATATTATTGTTGAGAATTCTCTCTCATGGTGCAATACGACGATTTATCCACGGTTGTCTAAAAATGAGAAAATTTACATTGCGTTGGGTGTCTCATCAACTCAATGATAAACAAAAACAAAAACGAGTTAGAATTTATCGTAATAATTTAACGAAATTTCCTGATGGATCATGGCGATAATGTAATATTATTACAACCAGTCAGATATAGATCTATCATAGGCAGGTTGAGGCACAAGTCAATTAACGCAAGCTGAATTAGTGAAGGTAAATCACTAACGACTACTGCTCGTTGAAGTAGATTTGAACCAAAACAACTTTGTTTTCTATATTCGCTAAATCATATCCAATGTGATTCGAACTAGATAAAAACCACCTGTATGCCTATCGTTATAATATGCGCTATACTGGCAGTTTTTTTATGAAAGTAGTGTATTATTGCGTATTGTATCGAAATGGATGAATATTTTTGAAGTCTGTTAAAACTGACGTGATTCAATCGATTGCAACACATTGCAATCATGCTGATACATCTGAGCGGCCTGTACCAGCCATAGAGTTCAAACTGGCCTCAGCTCTGATATACATTTTTTATTATAGATGACGCTTCAAAAATTTATATTAGTTAAATATATTTTGAAACTGTTTTTTCTCGATGAATTTGAATTCTTTCTAATAATATATCCGAGTTTGGGTAGAAAACACTCTCTGCAATTGTTTACATTTGAAACCAAAAGTCGTAAGCGGTACTACTGGTTCTTATGAGTACCACGAATAAATGTGCGACATAGAATGGTCCTGCTCTTATACGTAGTGTAGATAAAGGCAAGACTATAGACCACAGCTATTATATTGAAAACTGCCTCAAGCCTGTTATCAATGCAATAAAGAAATAAAAAGGAAAGTCATCAGGTGCGAAAGATATAAAATTACTGCACTTTATGACAATGCTCAGCCTCATACTTATCTAGATGCTATTACTTATTTAACACAAGACGATATCGATATAATGCCATATGTATTATTTTCACGAGGCTTTGCATGGGGTAATCTTTGGCTAAATGATTATTATCAAGCGTAATTTAACTGACCAAACAAATGAAAACTCATTGGCTCGTACGATTTTCAAGATAGTTAGAAGATATTCCAGAAGAAATGCTTAAAAACAATATTTGACAAATTGCTAGAAAGGATGGAATTTTGTATAAATAATAATGGCGACTGTTTTGAACATTTAATAAAATATCATTAAAAATATCTCTTTTGATTTTTATATTTTTATTTAATGTTGTCTGAATTTCTGGCCAATCCGAAGTATCTTGTTTGATTTATTTCATGTTTCTTATCAATTAATACTATATGACTACATATCTTCTTTTACTTTATAATAATTTCTAAAATTGAATGTTTGAATCATACAAAAAAAGAATATTCTATTCTAAATACAACACGTTTTTTATTTTTTTTTTGATTCTACTATTTTAAAGTTTATTAAGTACCAAGAAATGATGGCCGTCTTGAATGAAATGATTGTCCAGATGTTTGTGGTTTGGGTAGTGGTTTTGAAAAAATAAAATTTTGATGAAGAATATTTTCTTCATCATAATAATTCGATTCATGAAGTAGTTCTAGACCAGTACGTAGAAGTATTTCAAGAATTTCAATCAAATTCGTATCTGGTAATTCAATACAACGATAATGTTTACCTTCGAGATGTTGTACAGAATAATCACCAGTTATTGACGGAGCTCTTTGTGAACGTCCAAACGTACTTATTGATGTACGTCTAATTGAATTACTTGGTACTTTTACTGTAGATGATGATTGAGGAGACGTGGAAATTTCATGACTTGTTGAAACAGTGGTTGATGCATTCGTATCATTCTCATCAATATTTTCATTTTCTTTAGAAATGACTGATAAATGTGTTTTCTTCAAATCTGATTCAATTGAATTCTCATAGACAGTCATAGTTGATTTATAACGTTCAAATATATTGCATAAAAATTGTAAATCACCAAAAATAAGTATTTTAGAATTAATTGAAAATAATGAATTAGAATTACCTTCACGTTTTAAGTAAATTGTGTCTGTATGTCGATATTGTTGATAAGGTAAAGTTGTTTCCTCAATTGATGATAATGTTCGGCGACCAACATTAAGTACAGATTCAAGGTCAACACTTCCTATATTAGGAGGATAAGACATTTGTATCTAAAGAAAAGAAAAAATAACTACTAATTCTAAACATAAATGAAAAACTAATATAATGTTCTTTATTATTATTATTATTTTTTTTTTTTTTTTTGGAATAGATAATTTTTAAAGTCTAAGAAGTTTTTGTGTCAATTATTGGTAAAGAACGAATATTATCTTGTATATCTTTATTACGTAATAAAATAAATTCTTGTAATTTAGTTGTTGATGCAAAATTTGTTGAACTAGCCACAATTGAAAAATAATGTTTATGTAAAATTTCTAATACTTCAATTAATGACATTGTTGGTAATTCAATTGTTATATGAAGTTTTCCTGATAAACGATCATGATTTTTAATCATTTCAGGATCATTATGATGAATTTTAATATGCGATGTATATTTTTGAAATATGTCTGTTAAAACATGATAATCACCTATGGAAATAGATAAAAGAATTAAATGAGTTTTTTTTTAAATTGAAATACTATGAAACAAACCATGAAATACACATCGTGCATCTTCTTTAAGTATATCATTTGATTTTTCAACTTTTAAAATTATTATATCAGTATAACGATAAGAATCTTGAGATGTTGAAAAACCTGCATTAGATAATCCACGTCGACGAACTTGAAGAACTGATTCAAGGTCAACTTCCGTTGTTGACATAGTCCGTTGTGAATTGTTTTCCGTTGAAAATGACTATATTAAAAAAAATGTATATATTTCATTTTCTAATACATAGATCATACCGGTGAACGTATATTCGGGACCGTTTCCCGTCGTTCATGTGCAGACGCTGCTTGAGAACCTCTTCGTGTATTTGCTGCTGCTTCAAACATTTATTATATCGAATCTATCTGTGTTTCTTTTTATTTTATTTCTTATCTTTTATGATATAATCGTTTTCGAGAGTCGTAAAAAGCAATTTTCTTCTATTTTTTTTACCTGTTGTACAAAATGCTTGTGATATTTACGAAAAAGGTATTCAACTTATATTACTCAATAAGAATTGTTGCTCGTCAAATTTCTTTTTGTTTCGGTCCTTTTTTTTCTTTTTCAAACACAAAATTAAGTGAGAGTCATATGAAGAATATCGATAGTGATATTCGACGAAAAAAAGAGAGAGAGGGGATATAACCTTATCGTCAAACCAAGCAGAACCAACATGCTTTCGTTGTATAATACTTTAGATGCATCTACGTTTCTTTTTTTCTTTTTCGTAATATACAACCCTTTTTCTTTTTCATATGCTTGAAAATATGTTTTTTAATTGGCTTTAAAAATGGTCGAGAAAGGACGAGAACGCATATGAATATATTTTGGCTCCTTTTATTTTCAAGGTTGTCTAATCTAATTGTGGTATAAATAGAATGAAAGATCATCAGTTCCTCATCATTTTAACGCTAAAATCGAGACATTTTGATTCAATCATAACTATGAATAGGGTATATCTTCATGACGTACTAAATGGACGATTAGCTGTTGACACTAGATAGTTATGTAAGCGTTCATTTGACAGAAAACAAATAAAGATGAAGAATGATTCAAAGTTATTCTGATAGGCTTTTGTTTAGATTAAATTTTTATAATAGAACCATTCATTTAAAATGATCTTTTGAATCTACTAGACGGTATAAAAATTTTTCATTGCTTACATTTTGAGTCTGAAATACTTATGGACATTCCATTTGTCATTTAATTATTTTTGTTAATGAAACTTCCTCTGCACTTAATTCACTTCGTAGTCGATAGAGCTTTTCAAGAGTTACAAACCGAATTACTTTTTACGTTTAAAAAAATGTGGACCACATAAGAAAACCCTTAGTCCACTATTCTTCATGCTCAACAAATCAGTATAAAAAAAAAGCAACTCGACTTATGTATGTTTCAAACTTTTTCTGCAACTTTTTTTTCTGATCAAATTTTCACACCTGGATCTTCTCAAGGATATGTAAATAAATGAATTTAATCAACACAACTATTTTACTATTTAATCATCTGTCTTCAGACCATATAATTAGGGAGGAAAAGTAGGAGGATTTCCCCCTCCTAAATTTTCTTTTGCATTTAGCCTTTCTTCCTGAAAATTTTTGTTGGATGCTGTTTAGTGGGTTTTTTGGTTTTTTTTTCTATAGATAGAATATAAGAAAAATATGCATAAGAGAAAGGTTTATTCAAATATTTCAAGATTCATTAACAAAAATAATTAGATGACAAGTAGAATGCACATCAGTATTTCATATTCAAATTATAAGCAATGGAAGATGTGTATATGGTCTAATAAATTCAAAAGATTATTTTAAATGAATGATTCTATTACGAAAATGTAACCTAAACAAATGGCTTTCAGAATAAGTTTGAATCATTGTTCATCTTTATTTGTTTTGTATCAAGCGAATGCTCAAATTGCTGACTAATATCAACAAATACCTGTCAATTTAGTATAGCGTAAAGATGGAACCTGTGGGAAACTATGATCGAATCAAAATGTCTTAGTTTTAGCATCAAAATGATTAGAAACTCATGATCTTTCATTCTACATATAAGTCAAATAGTTTGTGTCTTGAAAATCAATAGGAGGCCAACCTGCGTTTTTATGAGCCTCTCTCTTCCCGTCCTTTGTAAACCGTACACACGAAAAATCAATTGATCAATGTAATCTACCTTTTTTTTTCTTGAGAACGTCGTGACACATGGATGGTTTAATAATTCATTGCTATAGAAATGTTGAAATTCGCTCAGAAAAAATTCTACGTTATAGTGTTCTCTATTTTGATTGGTTCAATTCAATAAAATAAATGCTATTCTTGCAGCTGTTATGTATAAAAAATGAACTTGAATCTATTGATTCTTTTAGAGAAATGTGCTATCAACGAAAATAATCAACTGAGAAGTATACACAAAGCTGCTTTTTTTTTACATATTAGATCATCAGTAACCTAAAGAAGGACTAAAAATGATGACCCTCTGTGAGACTGCTGAGATGAATGATATGATTTTGAGAAGTTAGTATTATGAACTACACTTTTTTCAGCTACGATTATCAAAGGTACACTCTTTATCTATTGATTCATCTATTGATATCAAAGGTCTTGATGGACTGGGTTGAAGCAAAGAAAGTCTGTTCATGAATTATCGATCTTTGATTCGGCTCAGTACATGGGTCACTCATATAATTGTATTGGATCAATTTTTAACACATGAATGAGCAACCATATTTTGAATTATCGGTATCATATTTGATAACTTGCAAAATCTTCAATTCTCTCGAATTCATCAGCATTTGCTAATTTTTTAATTGAAAATTAAAAACTTTCTAACATAAAAATGTGTTTGTTTTTTCATTTTTAATAGCAACATATATCGATGATTGTTGTTTCAAAAGAAATTTGATCGATTCGAATGTATACTATTTTGTATATGATTATGAACACGAATCAATAGTTGAAGACCAAGTGTTAACAAAAATTGATGATTGAGCAGGTTCAGTAGAAATAGGATTAGAATTTGAAAAAGTAATTGATGATAAATGAGGAGAGCTAGGTAAAGACATTTTCTTGAATATAAAGAAAGTTTATTAAACTGAAGACAATTTTATCTTTTTCTTTGTTTTGCTTTATACTATATTTCCAGTTAATTGTAGAAAAGATTTAGTCAATGAAAGAATTATATGTGATTTTCTAGAAATGCAACATCTTTTGAAAACTTTATATTTTATTCAAGATTTGGTCTATGGGCATCCATCTCAATATCGAATGAGCCCGACCAATCCATAAATTTCTATTCAAAAAAAATATTTCAACCCATGGATACATCTGATCAATATCTCTTGTAATCACCTCATTTCAGGTTATTCAATCACAATAGATAACGAAGGAGGTATAAATTTATACACAAATCGAACCCATATCGCATGTTTGTGCGTACTGTCGTCGGTATACTGTGGTACTCATAAGAACCGACAGTAGCACTTTCGACTTTCGGTTCTAACTATAAACAATTGCAGAGTATTTTCTGTTCAAATTTGAATAATTTACTAGAAACAATTTGAATTAACCGAGAAGAAAATAGTTTCAGAATATATTTAACTAATAAAGATTTTTGAAGCGCCATCTATAATAAAAATGTCTCCCATAACCAGGATCAATTTGGACTCTGTGGCTAGTACAAACGGCTCAGACGCATCGACATTATCAGAACGCATGGAAAACGATTCAATTCTGTCATTTTCAATAGACTTCGACAATATTCACCCGTTTCGATACAATACACCATGATACAACACTAGTTCTTCTGCAAAAATCGACGACACCCAATACACTAATTAATCTAATTGGCAGGTCACATCAAAGAGCACCGCTGTGAGCATCAAAGAATGTGAATGCTGCTGGTCTGCTGAAGTACCTACAACGCTTTAAAAGAAACGGCGGTAAACCACTAGGTATAACACACATTATACCAATCGGTATACCAGCGGTAGTTCCTCGATAGTATCACATGGATTATCTTTAATATACGTTGAATATTTATCATCGAGTATGACATAAAAATATTTTTATTTTACTTTCAAAATAATACTTCCAACTAAAATAATTTAATTTATTTCCATATATAAAACTTGAAAAAAAAGATACACGTACATAAATATGAAACGAAATTTATTTATCAGAATAGAAAAAATAATTATCTGAATACTATTTTATTATGATAAGAAAAATCTTCTTAATTCAAATTCTAAATCATGTAACTTTTCAGAGTACATATTTCCTTTCACAACATAATCACCCATGGTTTCAAGGTAGTCATAGCAAATGTAACCATTGACAACGTGCCTCTATACATACATTAGTTAATTAATGTTTCTACGTATTCTAATAGCTAATAATAACGAATAAAGTAATAGAAAGAAACAAAAAACAAAAAAAAAAGATGATAACCATCTGTTATTAATGATATGTCATTTAACAATGGTAAAGAATTATTCATGTAGAACATAAATAATAATAACTTGAATTTTTCTATATGTGTAAATAAGAACAAATAACGTAAACTAATTTCGAATATTACAAAATGTCACATTCAAAATCATCAAAAATTGTATGAAAATATTTATTTATTTTCCAATAAAAATAAATAAAATCAATTATCTTTTTTCTTTTGTTTAGGTATCAACTTCCGCAATTTCCATATCTTCATCTTCATCTTCATCATCAATATATAGAGGATTAAAATCACGTTCTAAAGATGTAAAGTCTAAAATAAAAGGATTATTTAATCGACATAATCAACATGAAGACACTAATTTAACTCAAGTTGTTGTTTGTGAAAGTAATACAAAAGATCCAATGTTTCTTCTTTCTGTAAGAAAAATAACAACGATCATGTCTATTACAAAACAATTTTTTATTCATAATTTAGAATCGTCGACATATGCGAAAAATAACTTTGGAAAATACGGATAATTCATATATAGATGATAATGCTGGTTTAGTAGCTTTATCATCATCATCAGAAACAACACTTCCATTTGAACATCCAGCTCAAACATTCAATGAATATACACGAAAAGTTATTATTTGATATATATAATTTATTGGATTGTTTTTTTTTTTCGTGTTTTCTTTACTTTAGTTAGAAGAAGCTTTATTATTATTAAGAAATATGAAACGAGACGAATACGAAAGTGAAACAACGCTTAAAATTCTTCGTTTTCTTGAAAATTTAATTCATCAACCAAAAGAATGGATTTCAGGAGCAAAATTAAAATTATCGGAAATGAAATTTCCAGGTTAGATTGATATTTTTTTTTTTTTTTTTTTGTATTAATTGAAATTAATTA